AATTCCAGGTACATATATCTGATGTTTGAGGTATGTCAGTCCTGTTGGGTGTCCAAAGTGTGAGAGGGATTAAGTGCTCTGAAGGATAAACATGGACTAAACCAGCAGTTTTGAAATGCCTTTTTCTCAAAGCCAGGCTGAGGGGGAGCCAAGCTGAACAGGCAGAAGAGGCAGGTTCCCTGGGGAGAGCGTGAAGGAGAGAGAACCGGCAAAATTCCCCCTGGATGCTCTTTGTTTCTGTTGCCAGGAGTTATCACCCACCTGCAAAAAGGAACAGAACAGAGCACCTTTTTCCCTAATCCAAAAGCCTTGGAAACAAAGCCATAAGAAGGATTTATCCAGGATGGACCCTACAATGGCTGGGATCACTCTTATTTCTGTTCTCATCCTCTGGGCAACCACGCAGCAGGGAAGTGGGGATGAGATTACAGGTGAGTGATGCAAAAACTGGTCAGAGGACCACAGCTGTTATATGGACAGCTTAGTTTGGAGGTGAGATGGCTCTTTATTTGAAATAAACCAGCCAAGGTGGCCACTCTCTGGCGAGCTGGCAATGTCTCAGCGACCATTTAAGAATCCCTGATTGATAATTAAACAAAGGAAATCTAACCCAGCGAAAATACAACCTTTGTCCCCTAATCTTCATCCCCAGGCAAAATCCTTCCCTTTGTGCCAGAGATGAATGAGTAGAATTCCTGCTTTGTCTTCAATAATGTGCAAATTTTTATGAAAGTTGTCTTTAAAATAAACTTTCAGAGGAAATGAGGTAGTAATGTACCTGGCAAACTCCTAGAGATGCATAAAATGAAGCAAATTATAAAATTGAATAGAAGACATGCTTAACTTTCATCTGTGGTACGGGATGTAATTTGGAAAAACCTAACCCAGTTGTTAGGTTGTAACTGCTAAGTGAACTCCTAATTTGCTCTTCATTTCTTGTTTGATTTATTTAGATGAGAAAAGATCGTGATTTTTGGCTGCTTTTTGTTGCATATTTTTGCTTAAGTGGTTTAGTGAGTCTCAGTTAAATATAAACCATATTTCTTAGAACCCTGCAGACTTTTCTGTTATTCTGTCCAAGTCACAGCTGAAAAAAAGGCTTTTACAGGTTAGGGGCCAGCAGAACCCCCATTCTAATACAATTTAAAGTAAATCGTGTTGACTTTAAAAGGAATTTGGAATACGCAGAAAAATCAAGCTCTTAATCCATTTTTCTTCTTGTTTTGGAGCCTTTGCCTTTTAAAGCTTAGCTTGAATCTGCCCTCTGGGAACCTTTTCTAACAGATGACTTCTGAGGTTACATCAAGATAAGAAAAGGGCTTGTTTTTGGCTCTTGCTGTTCTCCAGCAAGAAAAAATTTTGCAGATCCCAGCTCACAGTGGCTTTTCTGGCGCTTGAGCAGTGAAGTTTCGAGAACTGCAGCTGTATCTGTGTCATAAATGCTATCAAGCATTCTTTATTGCTGTTTTTTGACCCTGGTTTCAGTTCTGATCTGGGTTTGACCTTGAGTTATAAGCAGCCTGCTCCTATGCAGCCTTTTCTTCCAGGCTTTATTTCTTCTATTAATAAAATATTTGCTTTAATTGTTTCTGCTCTTGCTTAATGTAAAAAAATTAATGCTCTTCCTGACAGTGCTGAAAGCTGGTGGTTTCTGAGACACAAAACTGAAGGCCAGAGATGATAAGTGTAACACAGCCCTACTGACATCAGGTGTCTGCCTTCTCCTGCTTTGGGATTGAGTTCAGCTCTGAGTCTCTGGAAACAGCAGCCAGTGCATTTTAATTCCATTTGACTGTGCCATAATCCCATAGATGGGAGCAATGAGAGCAGAAAGCCAATTTGCTAAAGAGCCCAGATTGATCCAAGCCACATTGCTCAGCAGCAAACTGCTGTCAGCAAATAATTGAACTCTCTGAGTGTCAAAGCTTGTTTTAAACTGTATGGAAGTGATGGATGATGCCAAAGTTGGTCGTGCTGCAACTTTCCCTACCACCTTCAGCCCAAACTCTTCCAATAAGGGCATCTTTTTGTACCACCAGAACCATATCTCAAACCTTCTCTTTTGATTTTAGCAACCTCATTCTATATCTAGTGTATATATATACACACACACACATACACACATATATAAATACCTAGTATCAATGTTTAAATATGAAATATGATTTCATATCTGCTCTGACAGCTGTGACTTCTAATTATAAACTGTGTCTAATTCTACACCATTTTATTCTCAGTTTCATACCTGTGTTTATGTTGCACATTGCTGTAGAGACTAAGCCAGCTCAGCTGACACTGGAATTTTTAGCTTTCCAGTGCTATGTCCTCACTGCAGCCTCAGCTCTGCATGGACAACGGGAATCCTCTGTGCTCTCCTTCCTCAGCTGTTCTCTTCCACTCCCTGCTTTGCTCCGACCATGCTATACCTGTGCTCTGTGGAAATGGAGGGATCACAGGGATGAGGAACAAGGCAGAAGTCTTCTTCCTACTCTCCTCTAACACAATAACAGTCTGGTTCCCTAATACATGAGGTGTTTGGGGTTTTTTTCTTATTTTCATAGAATAAAATTTGTCCCGCTCTTTCTACTTTCCCTGGTCACCAATAGATGCTTATGCCCTTTTTCTAGAGAAAGGTTATAACCACAGTGATTTAAGTGTTCTCTCCAATCCACTCTGGTTATTTAGCCTTTCAGGTCCCAAACTAATGAAGAAAAAAAAAAAAAGGCAATAAAGTCGAAACAAGATTTATTCCCCCCCCCCCCCCCCCCCCATACCTACAAGCCTAGAAGCATTTGCAGGGATAAGTATTCTTGGAGCACTCTTAACACATGGCAAGGGAATGTTTTCTAAAATGCAGTCACAACTCCCTGTTTCTTATCAGGCACTTGTGCCTCATGTGAAGTGTTAATCCATCAAATGCATCGGATAAAAAGTAGCATAAAAATCAGATCTCTGATTCCTGCCCCAGAACTCACATTCGATTTCTTTTCTCATTTCTACCAGATGGATATCCTAAAGTTATCCGGGGAGGGAGGCCACTTTGCTTTCCCTGGCTCACTTCATTCCCTCCTGCCCAGCCATGACTGGGAATGGGCTTTCCCAGTCCTGGTCAGACCTCCATCCCGGCCACTGGGGTCCTCTCCTGGCCCAGGCTGGGTGTGGGTTTCAGCCTCACAGCTGGGGACAGTCTGGGTGTCTTCCTAGCCTTTGTGACTGTTTCCTTTCAATCTCTTCTTAAGGACAAGCCCTGGTGCTTTTTAGGGATGTGAAGACCTTCCAGCCTCTGCCTCTGAATCTTGCTTCAGGGACTGGACCCAGAGGTGCCACACTTGAGGCTGGGAAGGAGGAAGAAGCAGGGAGTGGGATTTCCAGCTATACCCTTACTGTCAATATTTTCCTGCTGACCTGCTCTAAGCAGCAGCACAGATTGCCTGGAGCCTGCCAGGAATTCTCTTGCTCCCACATGGACTCCCTGTAGCACAACCCGGCGTCAAACTCTGCCTTTTGCTGCAGAAGGAAGGCACAGAGGGGTTGGGCAGAGCAGGGCTGGGCTCCCAGGGGCCATATTTAGGTACCCTATCTATGCCATGTTTTCTTCTGGACTGTCCCTGTGGTCATCTTGTCCAAAACTTTTTCATCAGTCCTGTTCAAATTCTGTATATGTCTTTTGTTTAGCTGGAAAGCTAAAAGTGATAAAAGCACAGATTCCCAAGAGCCTGACAATTCCTGAATTGTTTTTATGTGTTTCATCTTTTCAGGCAGCAGTGTACAAATAAGAGAAGCTGTAAATATTTTAATTGTGTGTCTTTTGTGTATACTGTGTTAGCTTCAGTCTGTCTGTTGGCTGACCCTGGTGCCCTCAGAGCTCTCAGAAAAGAAAATAACCCTGCTATATTTGAATCTCTGCAGCTAATTCATGTTTATCCTTGTTAAAGTTTCTTTTGCTTTGTCTGAAGGATGATGCAGGCATTTTAATTCTATCCGATCGGTTTCCCAAATGGGACACAGAGTGACTCAGCCCCTCTGACTTCTCTAATATCTCATTAGGAGCCAGCCTGATGTCTGTGACATGACTGTAGGTTGCTTACTGCTAATTCTTAAACTCCATCTGGATCTGCTGCTGTTGTTGATGTTCCTCTGTGTTGTTTGGTGTCGTTTTTTTTTAATCCCCGTTCATGTTCAAGTATTTACGTTTTAAGTAAAACATGTAACAAGTTCACTCCTCATCACGAATGGTTTCAGAACTCTGGGAAATGAGTCCCATTCCCAGACCTGTGTGAAATGATGTAGTTAATGACCTTATCACTGGCTTTGTTTATACTGAAGTCAATGAACCACTTCAGGTCTCAAGCCCTGATCTAACAAGGTCTGCTACAAACGCAGAGAGGCAGCACAGGAGCTCCATGAATACCTTCTGTGTCAGATACCTGAAAGTCCTTCCCAATGATGTTATGAGTATGCAGTTTTAGCCTGGAGTGATGTCTGAAGGATGTCTTATTCCAGACGTTTATTGTGACTCATCTGCCCATGAGTTCCCTTCATTCCCTTTATAGCCAGAGGAGAGCAATGAACACTTTGGCATCATGAGGCTGGAGTGGACATGAGAAGTGCTTGGATGACTCTGGCCTGGAAGTGCCTATTTTGTTCTATTTTCCATTAACATATACTAATTTCCTTTCCATTTTCTTGAGTTAAATTGCCCTTTTATGCTTTGTTCCTGAAGGCACCAAGAACTCTTTGACTTTTCTGGCAATCTGCATCCTTTGATGACCAAAGTGATGCCTATGACAAGCAGTCACTACTAATTCTTTCTTCTGTCTGGTTTTTTGAAGTGATGTTCTTCCTAACATCAGCTTTCCTGGAAATCATTCATCTGTATTGGTTCTGTCACTGCTTTCTCATAACACTGTTTTCAACTAGATACTCGCAGGGAACTGATGCTCCGGAGTTACAAGTTAATGCTGATCCCTTTCTTCCCTGTTTTTATTTTTCTTCTCCAGAAAAAGGCCTCTCTTTGCTAGGGTACCATCTGTGCAACTATACCCTGACCAAAAATGTGCTTAAAATGGTTGCCTACCAAAAGTCCTATGAGAGAAACACGTCCTGTGGAGGATGGATACCGTGGATGGTGTGTCCCCGGACGTACTATAAAACCCAGTATCGTAGCATTGAAGTCCCTGAAACCATCACTCTCACAGATTGCTGTGAGGGATATGAACAAGTTGGTCTCTACTGCTCTCTAGGTAAGTTTTGTTCAGATTAGGAATTGAAATAAATGCTTCTTGTGGAAGAGTATTCATCCGTTTCTGGGGACATAAGTTCCTGTTCACTGGAACCAGTGAGTCTGCAAAAATGTGGAGTAAACTTTGTCCAACAAGGTAAGGAGTAGATATGAAAGACTAAAGCTCCTGATTCTTGCTCTTTGCCACAAATCCACTAAAATTCCAGGGGATCTTGAAGAAGGGACCCCCTTGCTATCCCCCAGGGGCTCCTTACTTACCTGTCCTGGTTCAGGCCAATGTCCCTGGCCAACTGCAATAACTCCCCTGTGCCTGGTGCAGTGCCTGTTCTGAGCCTGTTTCCATTTACACGGAGAGCTTTCTTCTCAGAAGTAATCCAGGATGCACTTAGGATAACATCTCCTTTGATTTGAAGCAGGATCTATTCCCAGACAGAATGCAAACCCAATTTTGGCTTAAGTTTAAAACAACCTGTGACCTCAGGGCAAGTCAGTACCAACTGCTTTCCAATCAAAACTACACTAGGGCCCATTTTCTCCTTGGTTATCTATGACTCTGGGGGTGGTACGAAAACTGGTGAACCTTTTGGTGGATCTAATCTGACTTCTGAGGGTTAACAAGGCTTCTTCTAAGGAAGACTTAACCATCTTTGTATCAAGATGGAAGCTTGTTCCCATTCTCACATCAGGGCTACCAGTTGTCAACAAGAAATTCCCAGTTTTATTAGAACTTGAGACGTAGATGGAAGAGATTCCTTGAATCTGTCATGCAGAAAAGTTCTGCAGGACAAAATTTGATCTCCCATTTTCAGCGTGACATCGTATTTTCTCCATGTTCCCCTTTCAGTGTGGACCTGGGCATTTACACAGTCACACACTGCAACAGCAGATTGCAAAGGAAAGGTCCTATTGCAACTCTGGCCCTTGTTTTGGGTCATGAGACTTGAGTGACTCAGATCTGTGGGAATGTCCCCAAACCTGCTCCTGCACCAGATCATATAACGTGGCATGAGAGGGTATGAGCCATATGTCCTGTCATGGGATCTGTCAAGAACAATGTGTTCATCCTACTTTTAAGCTGCTTCAGAGCTTTGGAAAAAGAACCTCCCAGCAATTTTTTTTCCAGGTGTTTTCTCAACAGTAGTAGAATATCATGTCTAGCAGGAAAGTGCTTTTAAAAGAAAGATGAGAACACAGTTGTTGTGTTTTACTTGTTCCTAAAATTATTTGCTATAGAAGAGAAATTAAAGCATAATTAGAGAGACATGATTCTTAATTTACTGTATCCTCCCATTGGTTGGCTCTGTGGCTGTTGTGGAGTGTCAGCCAGGGCAAAATTTGGCCTGCAGGTTACTGGGTGTCCAGGCAGTCTTGTCAGACTGGCAAAGGACCCATTGTTGATCATCTACATTTTCCAAATACCAGTTCCACAGTGGAGAAAATCTCCAGTATGTCTAATTATTGTTGAAAAATTACTTCAGTAAGGTCTTTTTGTTATACACACATGTGCATTCGTGTGTGCATGCATGAGTTAAACGACAAGACTGAGAGGCAATCAGAGAAAATGGCCTCTTAATTCTGTAGTGCAAGGAAAGAGCTGTGCCAGCTAAATGTGGAAGAGTCACTTGCTAATTGTGGATATCACAGTTTGCACAAGAAACTCAGGTGTTTTGAAACTCTGAAAATCAAGACCATCTTCTTGTCTGGGGAAAAAAAAAGCATCCTGGAAACACTTTAAATACTTTTTCCCTAGCATAATTCTATGTATTTTAGAGGCATCTCTAAGGATATTTTGGACTTGAGAGCTGTTGATGGGTTTGTTTCATCTAAAAGGAACAAATCTGTACATCTCCTGTAAACCTTGCAGAATTTCCACTCTGCCCTTACCACGTTGCTGGTGGGCACTCTGGGCAGGCTTGTCCATGAAATAATGTGGTCACCTTGACTCTTTCTCCTGTCAAAGTTAATCTGTGAATATTTTAAACCGTAGAAGGATTTGAATGGCTTCTAGGTGATTTCTGTGTTTACATTATTCCGGTATCTTTGCTTTTCAGGGCATTAGTCATAATTTCTGTGAATGGTAATGCACTGTCTAGACACAGTCTTAAATAAATGATGAGAAGAGAAACTGGAACTGTTGAAATTACTGCACAGCACGCTGTTGAACTACTGTTGTTTTTTCCTTGACGTTATCCATGCTGTCATGCTCTTCATCCTGCTAGGGATGGAAAGGTCTCTGTGACCTTTCCCAGCAACCTGCTCCTGGCCACTCCTCACCTTTTCTTCCTAGAAGGAAACATTTACCCCTGCCTGGGATATGGCAGACCCTGTTTTCTTACTTCTTTAATGATGGGGAAAAGTACCTACATTGTTAAATCACTTTGTAGTTCTCACTAGTTGCCCATCTATCCATTGGGACGGCATTAGAGATGCGCACACAAATGACTTCAACATTTTTAAATAACAACTAAAAAGTTAATTATCTAAAAGTTAGGAAGTGCTAGAATTAATTCCAAAGGTGGAATTAAATGAAACAACCTTTGTTTTCTCTCTTTGGGCCTGTGAAGATTAATAAACTCTTTTAATTACCTAATCCAGCTCTGCTGTGTCCCAAGGACCACATTTCCATGTGGTGCCCAGGGATGATGGAGCCCCTCTAAGGAGCTCCCCAGCAACGTTCCGTCTTGACCTCCACATTCAGTGCATGGTGCAGTGCTCTGCTGAGCCTCTCAATGAAGAGAGAATTATTTATCACCTCTTAAGGTGAATCCTGGGGGATCAACATGCAGCAATTTGTCTTCACACAGACTGCAGGAAGCGAGGGAGGTTCTCCGTCTTTCACAGATGGGCAACTGAGCTGCAGAGATACTGAGATCAATCCATTGTGTGCCCACTCTCAGACACCTTGGAGGCAGTTTTAATTTTTTTTTTTTTTAAATTTATTTTGCTTTTCAGAGTGCTTAAAGCTACCTTTAACAACTTGTATGGTTGGGCCACAGAGATTCACATCCTCAGTGGTGACTTTGAGCAGTCCCCCAACTGCTTGACAGGTCCAGGGCTGCAGGTCAGGCTCATGGACCTGCAAAACCCACGGCTCTGAAAGATTGTTTCACCTTACAAAGCTTTCCCAGAATCTTGCAGGTAGAGACAGGGTGTAATTCCCCAGGCTAATTTCCAGCTGCTAGAATGGATGGTATAGCTAATTCTGCTGGTGACTGGCTGCCTGCCCACTTTCCAGCACAAGATGAAACCAGAGAGCTCCTTATCTGTCACCCAACCCTGCTTGATCCCCAGCTAAGGAGGGAAAGAGTGCATCAGCATGCAATGAACCCTGGTTTTTAAGCACACAAGTCTCTAAAACACTGTTTTAGTTCAAGTTCCCTAAGCACTGTTGATCTGTTACCTCCATGAAAAACACCCTGAAATAAGAAGGCCCAGACAACTTTAATCCTGGAGTTTCTTAACTTGAGAGTGTTTGATTTGCAATGTTAAGGTCACACTTTTAATCAGAGCGCTCTTTGTGTGCATAACTTCCTAAGGTTTTCAGAAAAACCACCGTAAAGTAAAAAAATATCATTTTTGGAGCCCAGGTGGCTCCTCAGCAGGAGTGGGACATTTCAGGGCCAGTGTGTAGATGTTCCCATGCTGACTCCAGCTGGAGCAGTGAGGAGCTGTGGCACAGCTGTCCCCTGTGCTTGAGCTGTCACCAGAAAGCCATGGGATGGTGGTGTCACGTATGGGCAGTGTTACAGGATCAGCCTGGGGTGGGAAGGTGCCAAAATACCCTATGGAACTTCACACAGGAGCAAGTATCTCTCCCTACCCTGCAGTTTGGGTCCTTTGTGTGCCCTCAGCAGCTGCAGAAATGGGATTACGGGCATCAGAGGGTCTGTCCCTGCCTGTTCCCTGTGGTGTCTGCTTATGGGAATCCTGTCTGGGTACTGTCTTGTCCCTTTTTGAGCCCACTGAAGCTGTCTGCCTCCACAATCCATTTGGGTAAAGAAATGTGTGCTTTTGCACATTTTGTTACTGTGGGCTCTGGTGAAAACCATCTCTGCTTTCACCTTACCCCCTGCCTTTGGGATTTTGTAAACCTTGGCCACATCTCCCTCAGCCTCCTCTTCTTCAAGACAAAAGTCCTTGTCTTTTTAGTAGTCTTTTCTTACAAGTCTTTCTTTGAAGGCCATGGTCCCCCATTGTCCAACAGCTTGCCAAATTTCAGCCCATGGCTTCTGAATATGTTCTAGTGAATGACAGAGCTTTCCACAGGGAAGGGTGTTAAATATTTGTCAGATAATGGACCAACACACAACCTAATTAACCCTTGGAGAAGGAATCAGGATGGAAAACATCCATGTGAGCAGACAAAGTCTACCAATGCTCAAAGTCTCACAAAACATGTGATGAAAACTGCCAGTCTGCCTTTGGAACAGACTTTGCCAGGGGCTCTTTCTATAATTTCATGGATTTGTCTCCACCTTCTGATACCTGAGACAAATGAAGGGTGCTGCTCCCTGGCTCTGCCATACCCTCTGGATGAACCCTGTCCCCTCCTGGTGGAAGGAGAGAGAGGAAGGGTATCATGGCTGAGATAATGGTGTCCTGCAGCATCAATCTCCAGGGAGATCCCTCCTTCCTTGCAGCCACAGCAGATCCAGTGGCTCTCCAGTGGGCAGGCTGGTAAATGACCTTTGGTTGCTAAGCACTGGGTGCTGCAGCTCTGTTTTCATACATTTATGTAAATAACAGAGGAGAAAAGCCTGTACTTCATCCAACTGACAGAGGAGTTGGCTGGCTTGCTCCCCAGTGCTGGCAGCATTGCTTGGTAGGTGACTGTCCCCAACGTTATTGAAGTGGAGAGCATAAATTGAATTTTCAAAGTACATCTGGTACAATTAGGCAGAAATGTGAAGTGAATCCATCCCTGTTTCCGCTGATCTGAAAACGATGACCTTTTGATTTCAGATAAATGGCCAGGGAGGCACTGGGCCAGGATTCAATAGTGTTTTCTGAGATTGCATGTGACTCATTAAGCCATTTACACTGCAGTTAAACAAGAAAAAAAAAAAAAAAAGAAAAAAAGAAAAAAAGAAAAAGAGACCCAGGTGGAAAAAATTCTGCTTTGAACCTCAAACCTGCTTGAACTGCACCTGGATCTCAGAGCTGGAGGAATTCACATGCTTGGGTCCAGCTTACTAAGATCCACCTGGTTTTGAATAGTAAGGAGCACTGGTGAACAAGGAATATACTAATACAGGGAAATCCCTTGGTGCTCTGATGTGAGAGGCTGCTTGGCTCCCTGCACGGGAGGCTGGGATGGAGCAATCACATGAGACTGGGAATGTCTAGGAAACTCATCTAAGGGCATCCGAAGCCATATCACACTTATTGTGGTTTTAGACTGAAAATCAGGAAGAATATTTCCAGGAGTAAGACCTGTTTGGGGGGACAACCCGTAGTGCCAGCCCCAGAAGTAGAGGTTCCTGGTCTACTGGGAAGCAGAATGGATTCCTGGTGCTTGCTGGGCCCAGAAGTAACCTGAGTAAGATTGCACAGGGTCGATTTTTTTTTCTCATCCTATGGGGCCTATGACTCAGACTCAACTTTGGAGGCAGAGTTGGTCCTGTGAGAGACTAAAGAGAGTGAGTGACTTTGATTTACAGGCATGAAGAGGCTCATAAAAGGCTACATTAGGTAGCAGGACAAATCCTGCTCCCTGTAGGGCAGCCAGACATTCATTGGGTTTGGGAATAGGGACAGAGTTTTGTAATTTGCTGCCCAGAGCTCTTGTGGGTCTCACACCAACTGTCTGTGAAAGATGCTCAAGCCTTGTTAAAGCTTTTGCTTGTTGGGTGTGTGCACACAAAATACACACACACAGTGGATGAAATACAATACAAAACAGTGTGGGAAATGCCATCCCATGGGCTCTGCATGCAGGTCTTTAAAAATATGTGTGCAAATGACCTGCATCCTACTGAGACATCTCAACTCGATGTCTTTCCCATTCCCCAGTATTTGAATTTTGGAAGGTTTTTCAGTGGACATAACTCCCATCATTAAATTATGCCTACTTTTCACAATTACCTTTCAGAGGCCCTTGACAGGGATACTGTGGGCCCTTAGAGGGACACAGATCACTGCTCTTAATAGTCTAATTCTTTGTGCAAATATCTCTGTATGTCCAGTTGCGTAAATGGCTGAAAATTGCACATGTTGAGCTTTGCAGGCCATAGTTTGAGCTCAATCCCTCAACTGTAGATTGAGCTGGGGATTTGGAGTGCTAAAAATGAGAACTGTTATGGAGTGTGCCAAAAAGCTGAGGCTTTCTGCTTGCAGTAGCCTCCAGTCTCCCATAGACTGGTGAGGGGGGGGGGGGAGGAACCCGGAATGTGCATGTGGCAGCAAGTTACAGAGATTTAGTTTAAATCTTGATTAATTGAGATAATTTCCCTGTTTAAGAAGGTTACTTCAGTGAGGCCAAAAGTCAGTATCAGTATCCCCTTCTGCTTCTCAGAAACCTGGCATTTACTGTCATCCAGAGTCTTGGGATAACAGAAACTGTAAACCCACAGAACTGATGATTCATGATAGATTTATAATTTGTTGTGGACTTTTCACTTTCTGTGGGCTTTATTATGTCAAATGTGGTTTTTCTGCACCACAACTATTTCCATTGCAAGAATCAGGTTAATTTTCCTCCTGGCTGACTTTAATTGCCCAGTAATGGATCAAAAATCTGCAGGTGCAGGATGAATGGAAAAGCGAAATCTTTCAGGTTGATTAGAAAGATCAGAGCTGAGCATTACTTGGAGCTGTGTTTGAGACCGTGGGTGAAAGTAGTGATTGTAAGGCTTAGAAATGTTTTCTCTTTTCCTCTGGAGAGAAATATGTCCTGGAATTGAGGCAGGACCACTGTCTGCCCTTGGCTTGGAAGCAGCAACCTTCTGCCTTAGCTGCCCTCTCTGCAGGGCTCTCTGGCATGGGCTACCAACCTCCTGGAGTGGCCAGCTGGTACAGAGCAGGTGCTGCCAGGCTGCAGCCACGGGCTCAGTTCTACTCTCCTGTCCTCCTGTGTAACCCACTCACCTGCACCAGAGAACTACATCGTGTCTCCGCCCTCATGGAACACCCACAATTACTGTAACTAAAGGTCAGCCTTGTGCCATGGAAGTTTGAATAATTACTAATGGAAATTTACAAATTCAAAATTTGTGTAGAAGAAATGTCATGAGAGAGAGAGAAAGATCTGAGAGCATTTATGCCCTTGGAATTAAATAATGGTATTTTTAGGCTGTTGTTTTCTCCCCGTGAAAACCTCAGAACAGACGGGCTTCTAAAGTGAGGAGGAGGTGTTTGCTATAAATTAAATAGCACAATTTTAGGGAAACAATTTTCTATATTTTTGTTCTCAGAAATGTTTTTGTTACTTAGCACTCAACAGATCCAGTGTGTTTGCCTCAAGACCTGGTATTTGTCCAATGGAGAATATGGAAACCTCTGATTATCCTTGCACGTTCGACGCTGAGTGTCCAGGGCTCAAAAAATGCTGCAACTCATCCAAAGGAGCAGGCTGCATGGACCCAATGCCAGAGGGTATGTTACTGATAAATTCAGGACTGCTTCTAACAGAAATATGCTTAAGTTTTCCTTCTGAGGGTGGGATTGGGCAGGAAAACTGTTACCATAGCTCTTCATAAAACAAATACGGGAATCTGCCTTGGATCAGTTCCAGGATATTCAGCTTCAGTGCTTGCACCCAGGAGCACTGAGCAGTGTGTGGGTGCTGCAGGTCATGTGGACCTTCCTTGGCTTCTTCTCCTTTGCTGGCACCTGCAAAGGAGGTGGCATATGGCAAAGGAGGCAGTAGGTGATGGGCTGTACCTGGGCCCTTGGTATTTGCCAAATTAAATCCTGCTTTGTTCTCTTGGAGCTTTCCTATAGCTCTGTTGCTTTCTTCAGCATCAGACCTCAGATGACTTTGCTGTTCTATTTCATACATTTCAGGAAGAACATTCTGGTACAATGTGACAGTGCTTGTGAAAATGGATTTTAATGAATTAATCAGAGTGGATTCCCACCTTCTGAATCATTCCCGCCTTTTGCACTCCATGGTATGTACAAACACAAACGATCCCATGTGCTGCTTGTTTTGTCCTTGTTTCTTTTACTCAGGGGCCAGCCCTTACTCCCCCTCTTTTCTACCAGATTGATTTTTTTGGCCCTAATATATTTCTGATTACTGAACATCAGCTGCATCCTTAAGCAATTCAAGTAATGTTGATTTATCAGCTCCTTCAGTAAATTTTTCACGTCTCTTCCAAGGGCAATTTAAAGACATTCTGAAATATAGGAGTTTTCCTGCTTAAATGCTGATTGCTCTAGCACTGATCGAGTTAAGCTTTGGACCTATGACTGACTGGGACCAGATTTCAAGACCTTCAAAGTGTGATAAGGAGTTTTGAGTTAAACCTTTCAAGAGACAAACCTGACCCCTGGCACTGGGACCGTCAAGGCACGTGGACTCAGCAGCACCAGAAGTTTAGCTGTGAAAAAACAGGATTAGGGCAGGAGACTGTGTTGGGACGAGGGTGTTTTCTTGTCAATCTTGCCCCCAGAATCAGGGCTGGGGCAGACAGCAGAGTGTTATATTTTTGCTGTAGGACCAAGGCTCTGCCTTGGGAATGGGTTAGCAGCAGTAAATCTGTCCCTGTCCCCAGCGTGTCAAGGAGGAAGAGTCGCAGGTAACCAAGGAAAACAGAGCCCTGGAAGAGGTGTGAGGCACACTTCCCAAAAGGAGGGTCTGCAGGAGGGACCAGGCCACAAACTAAAGCCTTGCTCAGACAGAGAGGGTCTTTCTGTCTTCTCAGGGGTACTTAGGAAATGGATTCATGAACTAGGACAAGACCCTCCAGGCCACAAACCCAAGCCTTTTCCATGGAAAAAAGCAGGCTTGGATATGGCCTTTGAAAGGCACCCAAGAGGTCCCTAATTCCCTACATTTTTATTTCTAGTCTTCCCCAGTTTCCAGCTGGGAGTGGGCAAGTAGCAAAGGAAACCCATCTGCCATAATCTGCCATCACTGATGGGCAGGAGACTAGAAATGATAGCAACAGCATGGGTGTAGCTCTTCCTCCACCTGAATTACGCCTTCTCATATCCTTGTAAAAGCAAGAAATCTTGGTCCTGTCACTGTGTGGTAAGGAATAGAGGGCAAGGATCTAAAAAGACTTTTATATCTTGGTCTAAAACAAGCTATGTCAAGGTCAAACACTAGAGAAATAGGGACTATTAACAAGCTGCTATTCAGAGGAATTTCTTCCAGGCCCACCACCACGTCCCTTCTCTCATTCCTGACACTCAGTTGGGGTGGCTTGGTCTCTCTGGGGTCTCCCCGTGGCCCTCAACCCCGCTTTTCATCCTCAGTCTATTGCTTTTCTTCTTTTTCTTTCCTATCCCTTTGCCAGCAGTCCTTTTAGCTGTTGAAAGTAAGAAGTGTTGGACAGCTTTTTTACAGACGAATTGTAACAGCATGTGTAATGTTTGTCTATTGGGACTTTGCAAAGCAGGACTTTTCCCGTATATTCCTGGATTACATCCTTCTGCCTAAGTGTTTTGAGATCAGCTCCACACCTCCCTTAGCTTGGCATTACTATAATATAAATTAGCTGTGAAATGTGATAATAAGAATGCATAAAGACAGGCCTAAATGTTACCACTTTGCCATGTTTTTTGATTTGGTGCTTTCTCCACTCAGATTATGACAATAACCATGGCATAATTTATGCCTCAGCTGTGCTGAAAAATGAACGAGGTGCTCAAGTGTTTGTTCCCCCGTTTTCCAGATCACTGGTGCGTTGCAGCCCTTGAATGCCTCTGTGCACCACATCCAGAGCAATCCTGCAGGGATATACGCCGGGACAGTGGCCTCCCAGGTTCTCCTTGGGCTGCACCAACCAGCTCTGCTGGCTGAGGTCTCTTCTTCCCTGGATGATGTGGTGAAACGCGTGTATGAAGTGATTGACACACAAGTGCAAGGTCATTGATTACAATCCTGTCACGGGGAGGGGGGCGGGGAAGCTTTTTTTAGGAGGTTTCATCCCCCTTCATTTGCATTTTCATTTATATGACTATTAATTTGCTTTAAAAGATTGTATAGTGGATCTTGTAAAATTTGCAAATATGCCCCTGGCGTTTCCATTAAAGGATGAAGAGAGTTGTAGTTAATAATAATAATAATAATAATAATAATAATTTTAGACTGAATAGTTCAGAAGGGAATGCTCCTGAATGCTCAGTTAAATTTATTTTCTCCCAGTAGTATAGCCCATTTTCAAAAGAAAAAGCAAAGGTGTCCATATTTGTTATATTGTCAACATTAGTTATATTCAACAGGCCCTTAAGAAAAGTGTTTTCTTGGGAAGCAGATATACTTTCTTGCTATAGATGTGTTGCTATCAGTAGCTTGCATGAAACAAGTCACATTGATAGTCTGTTAATTCTTATAACGTACCACTTCCTGCTTTTTAACTGTTAGGTGAACATTTCAGTATTTTAGTTTTAAGTTTTGTGAATCTACTCATTACTCTGTAGTTGTCTGAACATTTGTACTCCCCAAGTGCATCCATAAGCCCCACTTTCAATGCTTCTTATTCTGTGGTTACTCAGTCCAACTGTCAGTGGCATCACTTTCAGCAGGTCTCCTTCCTCTTCTGCTGACATCTCTTAGGTTTGGATGACATCCTGCAGCTGTAAGCAGGAGCTGCCCCCTAACTGTCCTCTAATTCCAAAGAAATGGAGTAAAAAGTGAGAGGGTTGTAACTGCTTTGGGGGAAGGGCAGGATTCCAATTTCATTGCACCCGTGTACATCCAGAATTATATTAAGAGTTACTGCAGATTTACACTGAATTTATCATATCCAGAGCCTGGTTTATACACACTGCAGATCAGTCTCGATGCTGATATCAGTGTCTGTGCAAGGTGTGTTCCTCTCCCTAGATGTCAATGAATGTTCCTACCCTGAACTCAACGCCTGCCCCCAGAAAAGCACCTGTGTAAACCTGGAGGGTTATTACAGCTGTGACCCTCCTGCCCATGTCACCCCTCACCAGCTGAGCCGAAGGAAGGAAGGTAAGAAACGAAGATCTCACCTTGGGGAAACACTGAGGAAGTTTCTGTGGGAATTTGCTGTCTGTCACAGGAGTTGCCTGCAGGGCAAGGATTTCTGGAGGACTCAGTGCCCCTTTTCCTCCTGCTGGGAGGAGGTGCCACATAAGCCAGCTGTTACCTACTTCTGATTGAAATGCAGTGTATTTATTTCACAGTCCCTTGCTGTTTCTCCTATCTCACCCTCAACTGTCCTCTCTCATCTGCCAAAACCTCTAACTTCAGACCCTGACTGCTTCTCAGAACGTCATTCACCACCAGTGCACCTCCCCAGCCTCCTGGAAAACAATTAATGATGTTATTTATAAAAATTTTTAGGCTTTTTTCCCCATTTTGACTGCGTGAATGCAGCCCAGACTCAGTGGTTGTGTGATCCCACCCTGAGCTGCTCCACTGCCCCCAAGTCCTTTGCTGCAGAGAGCTGGAGTTTGGCACTGGGTAAAATAATACCTTGTGGTACCAGCCCAGCAAAATATAGAGGCATGTACTTAAAGCCCACAGACATCAATGGGCCTGATAATAGGCTTTAAGTTAATGAGATGAGTAACTGCTTACAGATTTGATACTTTAGCTAGAGAACAATTTTACAATCCTTTAATCTCAAAAATTAAGATAATGTATTATTTTATGCTTTTGTGATATGATAATATACTTATTTTCTATTTATGTTACTTCTATTGCTGCTTTCCAGCTGTGGAAAACATGAATGGTATTATTTGGGATTTGTTTTGTTAGGAATACTCTAACTCTTTGATAATACTATTTCCCCTTAGGCATTGCAGCATCTACTTCAAGTTCAGCAGTAGATGCCATTAGTACCAGCAATAGCTCTCCTTCTGTAATGAATTCAAGTCTTTTATCCATAACTAACCAATCTGCAGATGCTGGATGCTGTAAGTAATCTTGGATTTTAATGAATATTGTCTTGATTTTAATTCAGTCACTCCTAGATCCCTTTCAGATAAGAGTTATCACAGCCCTTTTAAAAACACCCTGTCCTTCTTGTGAGAGGAAATAACTTTCAGTAGTTCTTTGCTGAGTTCAGAGAGACAGGCTGGATATTCTTGATCTTCATCCACATCTTCTGATCCAAGCCCAGACTGGAGGAATTAAACTGAGGCACCTCTAGTGCAGGAGGGGGATGGCTTTAGGGGTGTTTGGCAACCACCTGGCTCAGAGTCCTGGAAACAATTATGTCTTATTGAAGCAACTTACACAAACAAACATTTTTTCTTAGTCTAACCATCAGCATGAAAGAATTGAAGTTGTGGTAGCAGAATGACACGGTCTCTGGGTTAGCATGGGATGTGATGCTCATCTCACCTGACCCCAGCTTCTGCAGGAGAGGTGTCTAGTCTGGGATCTCTCTCTGGTTAGTGGAGACAGACTGGCTCTGCTGGAGGGCAGTTCATCCTACCCAGTTTAGACACCTCCTCCTTCGAGGAGAGGAATCATCTCTGAAGAGTCCTGTCTTTTCCCATTGGCATGACAATGATTGCACTGGACTAGAGAGGAATAACAGGTGCAGTGCTACACACCACTGTGCCCCCAGCCTCTGCTAGCTGGGGTCTGTGGGGGTTTTCTGGGCATAAATCCAGACAACCTTTGCCTGAAGAGGTGCATTTTGATGATTAAAGTGACAAGAGGCAAAGCAGGTGTCAATACACATAGAGTACACAGATTCACTCTTCCAAACTATTCCTGATGCTTGCACCTGTAGCTCACTGCCCGGTTATTAGTGTTCCTAGACATTCAGTGGAGATTAGTTTGCTGGGAGAAATTGTGGCTGCCACATCCCTGGAAGTGTTCAAGGCCAGATTGGACGGGGCTTGGAGCAACCTTGGATAGTGGAAGGTGTTGGAACTGGATGACCTTTAAGGTCCCTTCCAACCCAAACCATTCTAGGGTTCTATGAGTCAACACAAATACATATAGCAAAGGGAAATGAAAAGAGTAAGCACCAAATTAACCACTCCAGTGGGATGGTTCATGGGTGAGGGGACCTGGTAGTGTGAGGGGGGCAGATTCTGCCCTGACCTAAAGAGGACCTTTACCCTATTGATTGTCAAAGTGCTTGTCTGTAGTGGACTTAAAATAGCACAGTGCTTTAGAGATGAAATGTTGCTTTTTCTGGGCTAACTCGTCCTGGGACTTCAGTAGATCCTTCTGCAGTGACAAACCACCGAATCTTCAGCGTTACCAGCAACAGTTTTGAAATGTCCTGGCATGTCACTTCTCCTCTGAACCACACTTTCCAAGTCCAAGTGTTCAAGGGCCAGGAGACTGTCCAAGACCTGAAGACAGAGGAAATGAAAATGGATGTGTCTCATCTGGAAGCAGGTGTGATGTATTCAGTCGAGGTCAGCTACGAAACCTGTGGAAAAACCATCATCTCCCGTCAAAGTGTCAAAACAGGTAAAGAGACACTTTCAAATATACATATATTTTAAGATATATTAAAATAGATATACAACTTAAAATATATTCCCTCTCTCCTTCCTTCTCCCTCCCTAAAGCTGCTCTCCATTCACCTGCAGTTCAGCAATGATCCATTTGGTCCTACCTGAACAACATTTCCCATCATCATCACAATTCATCACTTTTTTTCCCAGCATTTATCCAAGCCAGACTATCAAGCACTGGTTGGGAAAGCAGTGCTGGGGTTGACTTAAACTATTACAGATATCAGACTAATCTAGAATTCTTCTGTTTTTTATTTCTTTGGTGCCTGGCACTGCATTCTGCTGCCACCCATCACCCATCAGGCCCCATTTTTCCTGGCTGATGCCTGTGGGCAGTGAGAAATCCAGTCAACTGGTTTGTCAAGGGCTCAGCTGAGCTAACAAAAGTGCCAGGAGGAAGGGCAGATTCAGCTGAATAAAGGATTAAAAGGAATAACAAGAGCTGAGTAAGAAAGCTTACAGACTACCTGCCTGGTTTGGTTCAATTAACCAGCGATGGTGGCTTCCTGAGGCCCTAGTGTGTTGATCAAACATAATTTTGCTTTTCCTTTGGCCTTAAATTATTTCCTAGGCCTTCATGCAAATAAAGAAATAAATCTCTCCCCATTTTTTTTTTCTGAAGAGCAGGCAATGAAGTATTTATTACTGACCACAGTGAGGCTGCTGCTGTTCATGTTTATCCATAAGAGCCTTCCCTTTGATCAGATGAGGGATGACTCCAGCTTGGGTCAGAAGGAAATTACTCCCTTTGTAGAGGGAAAGTAGGAGGTCTAGTGGTTATGAAAACAGAGGGCTGAACTTCAGAGTATGAAGCTGGAACCCTTGAGAAAAAGAAAAGTTTTCCAAAGATCAGTCCAAAGAGTAACAGCCTCAGATTGTTTATACAGGCTACAGCAGTTATAGATTCCTTGGCTCTTGGTTCTGGCTCCTGTGCTCCTTATGTTATCTGTCAGGGATCACCAGAGAAGTACCATGCACTGCTTTTTGTTATATTTTCACTTTAGGAATATATATTTATTATTCACTCTGCCAAGATGAGGAAAATAAATAAAAACATTTTGATCGCTGGGCCAAAGATGAACTTACTGGCAATTTAACCCTGGATGTAATTTCAAGTCAGGAGTTATGTAGGGTCAGGTCCAAATATGAGTATACCCACATATAAAGGTATGTGTATACCCAGTTCTCATACAGTAGCAATCAGGTACCCTCAGTGTCTCTATGGGCCTGATGTAAGTGCATCTTCTCAATGTGTAGGAAGCTCGTAGCAGCCTTTTGCCTGTATTTTCTTTATTTGATACCAAACTCTCTCAATTTCATCCTCCCTTCTCCTTCCATCATCTGAGATTTTGGTCTGGGTACATCAGTTTTGATTGAATCCCTTCCTCTCCTGCTTTCTCAGTGTGTGTTTTAATGTTGTGTCCTACAGAGGCCCAGATATTTGATGTTACTCTGAGGATTCTCAACTACAACTTCACTGATGATTTCCATAATTCCAGCAGCTCAGCGTATGAAGAATTTTCAAGGCTGTTTCTTACAGAGGTAACATTAAAATATCTGTGGGCAATACATTTTTTTTTCCATTTAAAATTCATTTAGTCTACTAGAGGACTTTATGCCTGGCTGAAATATCCCTTGAAAATGATCATGCTGCTTCCTGTGACCTTTCTTTGTAATTAAAACAAAATTCAACTGACTAGACAGATCAAGCCCTTGGCCTTGTTAGCAATGAAGCCAATGAGAATTTTCCCCTACAGAAGAGTAAAGGAATTATAAATGCAGGCATGCAACAGGATCTTGGATCTTTAGTTTGGCAATAAACTCACACTAAATTGACTTGAGGCTTTTTAATGGATTGTTGAAATGACATTCCTGGCATTCATTTCAGCGCTATCATCTCAATAAATGTCTGACTGCTCTCAAAGCTCTTTCTTCTTTTAGGAAAAGTGGCTGGATCAGGTTTTCTCCTCCATCCACGTTCACTGCCTGCACACTTGTAGCCACTGTCCATGCTCAGGTGTAACCAGCCACAAGCAAAACTTGAGTCATGAAGCCTATTACCAGCTCTCAGCTTCCCAAAAAAGAGGGGGAGTTTCAGATGGACCAATCTCCCACAGTTTTGCTGCAGAGAACAGGGCCCATACAGAGGAATTGGGATCTCCATCCAAAAGGAGACTTTCCCAAAACAAAGGGTGACTCATAAATATAAGTAAATTTAAGTCTGAGGGAAAAAACCCCATCAATAATGGAGCTTTACTTTCAAAGGCAGCAAGGGAGAGGAGTTTGCTTATGAGAAACTGCAAGCTGAACCTCCTGACACGGTTTCATTTCCCACGGTTGCAAATTGTTCACTTTTGTTGTGTAGGAGGATTTTGGTGAGTGAATCTTCTCTGAGACTAATGCAGATCTAATTGGCATCATGGGGTTGTGAAGGAAAAGGAGCATTTCCCATCTGTGTTGTCTCTGCCTCCCTGGGTGTTTGGGAGCATAACATCCCCCTCTCACTTCCTGTCTCCTCCTTTCCTTGCCTCCCCACCCTGATGTGAGCTTAGACCAGTCAAACAGCTTGTCTGTAGGAATTTTTTGGAACAAACTCTGACTGAATGGGAACGAAGCTGTGCTGATTTATGGCTCTGCAATGCGTGCTCAAAGGCATGCTTTGAGGTGTACGAAGGAACAAAGGCTCAAGCAAGGAGCTGCCTTCTAGAGGTGTAAGGAAGAACTTCCAATTCCTGCACAGCTCAGATATTGACAGCAGTGTGCCAGCCTTATTGTTCAGAGCAATGCCATTTGTTCAGCTGACGTAACTACTCACCAGGCTGGTAATTAACCATGGTGTAATTGTGATATTGCCTTGAGGCTGGGCTGTCTCAAACATATTTTATTGAAGTTATCCACCCCCATTTTTCTTGTCTCTCACCCTGAGATTTCCTTATTATTGGACTCGGTTGCAGGATGAACTTGAACTGGTGAGTTCCAAATACTCCCTAGGAACTATATCTATGCCTACTCTGGTAAATGAAATATTTCCTGAGCCATTCTCTGACACTAACCCTAACTGGCACAAGCTAGCCTGCATCCATGCAATTGGGTCTCCCAAAACACAGTGGTCACATTGGGATTGCCTGTTGGGACTGGACCCAGGGTCATGGCAAAAGACAAACCCTCTCTGGGGGACTTCTAGCTGGTAGTAGTCAAAATCAAGCCAGGTACTGGTCAAGCCACAGTGGAGATGATCCAGTTCCAGAGTCTGGGAGTGCAGAGGTGAGTATACAGGACAAAACACTTACATGACATACAGAGCTAACATGAGCTGGGCCAGTTCTGCTCTGGCCCAGGCAAACAGGACCAGGAGGGAACCTCCTCCCTTGAGCAAAAATGAAGTTTGGTTTGTAAGACCGGTGGTCAGATGGATACTATTTTCAAAGGGTGCACCAAGGAGACTCACATTACTTTGGGCCTCAATAATCTCTGAAAAGTAAAGATTTCTGAAATGCTTTGACTCTTGTTTTACAACATTTTTTATGTTGTATTTATGTTTGTGCATACATAAATCTTTAAAAACGTAGCATCCTAATTGAGTTTTAAAGGAGGTTTTCCTGTTGGCTTCCTAATTGTCGATGCTTCTCTCCCTTTGCTCAGCTTGAACATTCATTTCCACCTGACATTTCTGCTTTACACAAATCTGGGAAGCTGAAGTTGCAGATTGAATCCCTGCAGGCTGGAAGTGTCATTGTGAGGCTCAGAATCACTGTGCAGGATCCTGAGTTTCCAGTCAATGCCTCCTCATTTGCCGTAGTGCTTTCCTACCTGCACAACAGTTCCATGATTTTGGTGGATCAGCAAAACACCACAGTAGGAGGTAACTTTTATTATTATTATTTTTCCATAGAAGAAAACAGGGTTTTTGTTTTGATCACACAATCACCAGTATTCTTCATAAAATGTAGGGAGATAAAATATGTGATTTGTTGGAGGGAAAACCGTGATGTGAGAGCTCCTCCGTGAGCTTTATCCATAAGCCTGGAAGGGTCAGGCAAAGGAGTATTGGCTGTCCCCAGGTACCTTCAGGCACTGCTTCCCTCCAGTGTTTTTAAGGAGTTGAGCCCTTAGTTTCCCTATTTATTTTCCTCCCTCTCCTCTCTGTCCCCAGTTGGACATTTGCCATATCTTTCTCATGCTGAATTGCAGATAGGATTACTGTGGAATATTTGCAGCCTTTGGATACACATGCCTTCCTAGACAGTTTTGTGCTTCAAGACTGTGGGGCTGTGTTTGGGCCAGGGTTTAAGAAAAGAAATCTAACATCTTCACTCTGGAAACCCAGTCAGAGAAATTCCCAAATGTCCTTCCTGTAAATAGGGCTAAAGAAACACACATGGAATTTATGGTAAATGAGGCCTTTGTTTGATCTTCAGTAATCACCATTTTTATCTTCAAAGGACTAAGTTCTGGCTTCAGGTTTCCCAGCTGGCAGAGACAACCAGAGTTCAGAAAGTTGCCAAAGCCAACAGAATAAGTTATTCTTCTCTCTCAGTGTGTTGATCCCTTAAAAGCTTATTTACTGTGAGCAGGGAAAACTCCTGGAGTCTTGAAGATGCAGAGCACATGGAGGTTAAGGAGAACAGGACAGGAAAAAACCAGAAGAGACAAATTGCACCCAAAGGCCACAGATATCACAGTGGCAGCAGATACTGAATTGCAAGATGCTGATGTGTGCCAAAATACTTTACAACTGTTATTGATCCTGGGACTGAGAGAGTGTGGAGGAGGAAGGCAATAGCTCTGGACTGTCACTTGGATTGCAGAAAACCAGGTGGCTTCCAGTAGCACCACTCTCATCCAGGAGCATGGCCAACTCCTCCACTCTTCCTTAGGGGCAGAGAAAAGGGGGTTATTTCTTAGCTCTGCCCAAAGGAGCATTTGTTTGACATGAGTTTCCTAAGTCAAATGTGGAAAATAAGGAATGAAGAACATGAAGGAAAGATTTGTATAATGGGGTATTTTTTGCTTCCTGACCCTTGAGAGCCCCAGATGTGACCTTTGGCAGTAAAGCCAGTAATCCCACATGGGGATCCTCTGTGGAGCCTGACCACCACAAGGCTTTGTGCTTGGTTTAGTGACAGTGAGTTCAACCGTGAAAAGCAGGGATGAGAAGTCAGAAGGGAGAGCACAACTGAAGGGAGTGGAGGAATTGCATCTCTCTTTGAAGATGCATAAATTATTGAGTTTATTGCCACGATGAATAGAGACAATAAAATCTGTTGTGTGAGGCAGGGTAAGAAAAGAGAAAGGGATGTGTGGTGAGTCAGGCCCAATATCACTATCCTCAGTAGCAGCCAGGAGCCAATTCCTGGAGAAGCGTAAGAGTAGAGCAAGTGAAGGTGATGCCTTTCACCAATACTCTCTGACCCACCAACTGTTTTCAGCTCAAGGACTCCCTGAATCCGAAATGATTCCTTTGTGTTTCTTCTCCAATGTGTTTCCTGTGAAATCATACAGACTTTTAGCACCTACAACATCATTAGGCAAGGAATGTCACAGATTTTCACCCATTGCGTGTGTCCCTTACAAGTATAATGAGTAATCACAGTGAACACAAAGGTGGGTTTTTTATAATTTTCAGAGCAGGACTGTTGGTTGAGGGGTGTGTGTAGGGAAGTGCCAAATGTGAAAGGCCAGAGAGATGCAAAGAGAGCAGAAAGAGAGCACAGAGCACACCTTGGCTGAGATGTGATGGTTATAGAGGATGGTTATAGAGGAAAAAAGTGTGTGTGTGTGTGTGTGTGTGTGTGTGTGTGTGTGTGTATGTGCATGCCTGAGTGATGTACCAGTGCCAGTGAGCACTGAGACTGGGAACATAAGTGATTTGGGCTGATGCATGATTGAGTGTGGCCATCAGAGGTGAAGGAATTTGCTTAAAAAGCCATGCTAAGTGAGGAGAAAGGAAATCCTCAGAGACAATGGAGCCAGTGAATGTAAGTTATTTGGCAATTAACACGGGAGCATCTCTCCGATGGTGTGTGAAGCCATCAGGAGTCGCAATTACTTCACAGCACAGTAAGGAATTAATGAGAGCACTTTCATTGCTGGTGTTTAGTCAATCCTGCACTTTTCTGCCTTCCCTCTAAGTGGCTTAGGCTGTAATAGAATAAGCAGATGCTGGCCACAGGCACATGAAGTTGTCTGATGGAGGCTATCATGGACACAACAATTAGCTAATGACAAAGAAAGGAAAAAGAACTATTATCTGGAAGGAAGTAAAAGGGGAAGGCTGTCTGCAAGCAGAAGGAAGAGTGCATGTATGTGCATGCACACGGAATGAGGCATTCCTTTGTTTAGGACAAATAATCACAGTCATTAATCTCTGCCTGTTTGCAGAACAAGCATTTATGCTAATGTGTTGTTCAAAACAATTTTCTGCCTCTGATTAGAATTATTTGTCCCAAGACACAGTTTTCAGTCTGGTTTGCTGCTCTCCCTCTCTCACAGCCCTGAGGCAGGGAAGGTGTATCCATGAGGGAGTGCACACAGGGAGGCCTCACGTGGGATTCACTGACATTATTCATGTCCAAAGCACTAACTCAGCCTTTGCAGGTTTGCTGGAACAGGGTGTGAAAAGCAATACAAGACTCCAGATATAAATCCCTTCAGAATGAAGAGACTCAGCATTAAAATAGGTCTATAATTGCATGAAAGAAGCATCTCTAACTGATTCAGAGCAGCTGAAACCAGACATAAGGGACACCCTTAGAGCATATTCATGCATTGATGAAACAGAAGCTATTTTCTGAGACTATCAGAAAGAGGGTCACAGTTTTACAGTATTACATTTGAGAAGAAATCCCGTTTAAAAAGAGATTTTGCCCTTAACTCTTCCTTTGTTAAGAACTGAAGAGTGCTTCCCATGGGAGTTACTTACATTTACTTTTTATTTTATGTGGAAGATTATTTGGATTAAGTCTCTATTTAATGTTTACTAGCTACTAGTAGCTAATGGTAACAGATATATTAATTTCCTGATGTATCTGGAGGTACTGTACACAGAACTTGGTATAGTGTGTGCTTTTGATATGGCTGTAGCACAAACCTGCAGTATTTTTTTCATTTCAAGTAAGTTTTTACTTCTAAAAATAATTGTTAAAGAAGTCTTTACACAGAGAAAATATTTGTCAGAGTACAAGAACAAAACATTTATATCTGAGAGGATAACCACGCAGATAGTATTTTGCATCACTCAGCCTGGCTGACAGATAAATGATGGAAAAGGAAGACCACATTAACAAACTGAAAAAGGACTACTTTATGATTATTTTTATCTTAATGCAGCCAGAAGGGAGGCTTTCTGACCCATGTTCTTGTTTTGGTCTACAGACTGGGATGAATGTGCTTCTCACACCGAGAATGACTGCTCTGTGTTTGCAGAGTGTATCAATTTGATGGGCTCCTACATGTGCAGATGCAAGACAACCATGGATACCAATCCATCCAGACCTGGAAGGAACTGTGAGGGTGAGCAAAAGAGTGGCATGTAGTTTTTCTTTGCCATGAAATGCTGGAATAAGTTGTGGGGTTTTACCTCTGCTTTTATGCCATCTGTTCATGTAATTGCACCTTTGCAGTCTCTGGCTGAAAGACTGTATCTGATCTGACTCTGAACCTTATATATATATATGTCTTCAGATGAAATCTCTCTGAAATAACTGACTGATGAGCAATAAGGAGTGATTTTTCCTCTTTTGGTGTGTCTGTGGCTAATTTCCTCCCACTGTAATAGTCCATGGCCTGGTAAGCAGAAGAGGAGACTCAGGAATCAAACCTGCCTCTCTGTGTAGTCACAAAGAAGACTCAGCCCTATAAACCCCACATATGCTAAAGGGTGTTAATGAATAGCCAAGACCTGTTTCTGCAATGTTCTAACATGTGGTTGAGGGGCCTTGGTGCCATTTTCAGCTCAGACCCTGGTGCCTCCTCTTCCAGTCTGAGGTCCCATTTAAATGTGTTTCCTGTGTCATAGGTGAGATTGTGGATCCTCTGGCTGAAACAATGGCTCCTGAAACAAGAAACAGCACAGAGTATGCTCCTGAAGAAGGAAGCCCTGCAGGCCTTGCATCTCCTGCTGCCACTGAGACAGCGGCCTCTTCGCTGCCCCTGGGTGACAAACAAGTGTCCCACAGTCCCACCAGTGCTCCTTCAGCCCCTTGGAAAAAAGGTCTGGCAGCACAGGTGGGCTTTGACAGCCCCAAAGCCACGGGGACCACAACCAGCAAGGCACTTGCTGTGAGCACAGAGAGTCGGGCAGCCACAAGTCCATGGCAGCAAAGCTCCCTGGAAAAGGCTTCTCCTGGAGCACCACAGCAAGAGGCTGCTCTCACAGACATTCCCACGGGCACAGCCGGGCAGGAGCGACTCAGCTCCCCATTGCTGGCATTTCCAAATCAAACAGCCTCTGCTACCACCAGAATTCCTGGTGTGCTCCAGGCCAGCTCTCGAGGTGGCCCTGGCACAGCTCTGCTGGCCACAGGGAATGCTGGTGTTCCCGCCCTCAACGCCACTCTCGGAGAAGATGTGGAGGTGGGAAGAGAGAACAGCTCTTGGTCCCAGGAATACACTGGATCCCTGGGGTCTCCAGCTTTTCCAGGTGCCTCTGCAGCACCCAGCCTGATGCCAGGCCCAGCCACGGATCACAGTGAGTATGGTGGGGATCTACAGGCACGGTAATTCAGCGGTGTGAGAAGCAAAGCCTCACTCAGAGTCAGCAAAGTTGCACAGCTGGAATCAGAGCTCTGGGGTGAAGGCATCTGAAACTAGTTTTTCAGTGTCAAAATTGTTTTCCTGCAGGAGCTGGCACTTTTTTTTCTAAATCAGCTTCTCAAAATGATTTCTCTTCCGGGCAATTTGGTAGTTGATTTTATTTGTGTTGCTTTTCTTCATCTCAAAGAGGAGGAAACACATAATAGAGGAGGAAGCACAAATAGGAGGAAGCACTCAGGATGCACTGAACGTGGCTCATCACAGCATTTGCTGCTCCTCCTTTTGCCACACATCTTGGTTTCTCCTGCATCCTCTGGCATCAGGGAACTGCAGCAGCAGCTGCCTATAGAGTTAACTTAGAGAGAGCCAGGGAGGCAAACGACCTGCCTTCCCATTCCTCTCACCCGAGGATGATGAGTCAGAGTCCCCCATAAATCCCCTGTGAGGCAGGAGCTGCCTGGAAACCTGTGAGATGTTTTTTCAAGAGCTGTAACTGAGAATAACAAGGCTGTCGGGTAGGGCTTAATCTGTTTGGGTTTGGGCAGATGTGTTGCAGCTAATTAGGGGATTTTTCTGTTGGTCGGGGCTGAATCATGTTTCAAAGTTACAGTCAGACTTGGTCTTTAAAATTACAGCTTTTTTGGGGATAGGAATGCTACTGTCTCTGCCTATCACTAAATGTATTTTCTTCTGTAGTGTGTTACTATTCAGTAGCTATTTCAGATTTCTTTCTGCTTGTCTTTATTCTCTCTCTGTGCCCTCCTCATCTCTCTGATCCCAAACCACACTCACCTCTTCTCTTTCCTCTCTCCCTCTCCTATGATCTCCTGTTTCTGGTGGTCTCCCCTCATCCAGCCCTGCTTCTAGTTCTCCCTCGTTCCTTTCTCCCTGGAAAACCACTTTTTCAGCCATGTAAGGCCAGTTCTGCTGCTCCTCCTGCCTTTCCTACCCCCAGCCCTGCTCACCAGTGCCAGGGTGTCCATTCCTGCCACCCTGCCATGCTCTGGGCAGCCCTGCCAATGCCCTGCTCATCTTCTGTCTTCTCTCTTTCTTGGCTCTGCTTGGCATGGATGAAACCTGGAAGAGAGATTGACAAATACTTGATTTAGGACCTCAGTGGTCAAATAGAGGAAACAGATAATTTTGGGCTGAAAAGCATGTTATGCTGAACTGAAAACCTTCACTTACAGCTTTGCTTTGTCTTCCCCTGCCCCCTTTCAATTTAGGGATGAGTAAAAAAATGGGAGGTTTTGTTTTTTTTTATTGAAAACAATTTTTTTTTTATATCAAAATATCAAATTTTAACCAACCAAAAAATAGAGGTAATTTTTTTTCAACTGGAAAAGAAATTGAAGAATTCTACACAAGTTCAGTTTATAAAAAAACTGTTCTCTTTTCCCTGAATCAAATATTCAGCCAAGGGCCTTTGCTGGTAATGAAGCTTGTGAAGGGATTATGCCTGAGGAACAAGAACAAGAACCACCATGGTGGCATCTCACTAGCCTGGGGCAGGAGTTTAGAGGGCAAAAATCCATGTTTGGTGGAGTTTAATATGTAGCTCCTCCTTGTGGCATCATCTCTGACCTGGAGGCTCAACCTCAGCCAACTCTTCATAGTCTGTCATGTCTTTTAAATACTGATTTTTATTTTTTTTTTTATTTGAGAATTGTTCAGAACATTTTCCCCTCTCACCTGAGATAACTGAATGTGATTCACCCCTCAAATCCCTATGTTCATCTGACAGGACACAAGGCACAGCAAAAAGCAAGCCCAAAATCTTGGATCGGACTGGTGGTGGAGGGGGTTCCTTCAGGATCAGAAGTATGCTGGGATAAAAGAAGCCTCCTTCAGTGGCTTGCTTCAAGCAGGCATTTCTCCTCTCCCCTGCAAAGCTTTACTTGATTACTATTTCTTTTTTTTTTTCCAGATCCTGTCCCAGTTCAAATGATTTTTATCCCAATGTGACTAGAACCAACTTTGCTGTAAAGTGGCCCACAGAGTTTATGCAGAGCCCTGCTTTACAATTCTTGCTGTTTCAAAAATATGGGAGACTAAAACTCAGTACAGGAGTCTGACAGTCTCAGAGCTGGCACCTGGTGCCTTACACACTGTAGAAATGCAGATGGGTGTGTGTAGGGAGCTGCTACACCAGGGAGCAAAGACTTGTAACTTGGTTCACAAACAACTTTAAACTGAATCAGATAATAGAATCCCTGAGGTTTTTGGTGAAGACTATCCCGTATTTTTATAAACCATTGTAACTTTAGGTCTTGGTATGCCAGGGGTGATGACCTGTCAGCAGCTGGGAGGCAGAGGGAAAATGAGCTGCTGGCAATGGTCACAGTGTCGAGTGATGGCAGTCAACTTGCCTGGCAAGCCACTAAAAGGATGCCAAGGGTACAAACCCTGTCTTGAGGAGCCCTTTTATCTGACCTCTGATCACCTCCATTATCTGTGGTAATGATGCCAAACCCAGAGAAACTGGGAAAATCAGGAAATACCAGCAATTCCCAGCAATATCAGGAAATAACCTAAAATGTTTGAGACTGCCTTAATATCGTGTGACTTCAGGGGGAAAGAATACACCTTGTTGGGATTCATCTTACCCCACCACAGCTGTCTGAAGTATAGATGTCCAACCTCAGGCAGCTGCCCAGCCTTCCTCTGAGGCTGCAGGGAGGACCTTGGTCCTTGTAGTGGTTTGCCCTCTGGAGGGACTGGTGGGACAGCTAGCTGAGCATCTCAGATAGAGCTGGCAGATATAAGACTTACAGGAGGTCAGTGCCCTTCTTGAGAGTCATTTGGGGCTTAGACAGGGCAGACTAAGGTGCTGGATGACTTATAGACTTTTGGATACCTTTCAAGCTTTCTGCTGTTAGGAGTTGATGCATACAGACATCCAGGTGGCCAGGCATGCTGGAGACTGTCACACCCTTGTCCTTGGGCTACAGTCCATAGAACATCAATTTAAACTTTTTTTTTTCTTACTTTGCAGCTGTCCAGAAGCTTAGTGGCACAGTTCGGATAACAAATGTGAAATACTCCCCAGGCTTTAGCAATACCAGCAGTGAGGAATATCAAACCTTTGCACAGCTCTTTGTTGATGAAGTAAGTGGCTTATAAGGATGTGACCTGTTACCAGTCTCAAAGAAACCACGTGTATGGTCTTTCTCCCATGAATGGTCATGTGTGTCCCTTGGCACACCTGTAAGGTCTGAATTCCCCCAGCTGTCTGAGACTGCAGGATAAGTGTACAGCTGTGTTTTAGAGGGAGATAAGGGTTTGGAGGGTCTTTGGTGCCTCCATATCCTCTGCTTCTCATACCCAGTTGTACTGGATTATTGATTTCCTCCAGGGGTGTGGTGAAAAGTTAATGGAACTTGCAAAGAGCTCTGCTACCTTTGCCCTACACAGCACTAGATTAATTAACTGTATGATTGCTATTACCCTTTGTTATAGTACCTCAAGGCTGACAATTCTTACAATCATCCTTGTTTTTGTAGCCCCATATCTGGAAAGGGAAAGGTTTCTTGTCGTGTCACCTCTGCCCTCACTTCTGATTAGAGTGCAGGATATCAAAGCACATTGTGATATCCTCTGCACATTTAACACTCTCAGAATTCTCAGGCATTGCCTTTGACAGTATCACTCTTCTAATTTTGTAGGCAATTTATCAGAAGTTTTGTTCCTTTGGTGCTCACTCAGACATGCCGGTGCCTGAAAAAACCTCTGGTTGTGCTGCGCTGCGTTATTGCCTTCCTTATCTCCCCTTTACTGTCTGTTTATTCAGAGGCCTTGATAACTGTGGTGACAAATCCACTGCTGATAATTATATGAATTTCAAACCCTGCTGAGGCCTCCCTAAACTCACTGTGTGCAGAGTCACAGCCTGGCACTGAGACACAGCTGAACACAGCGGGTGCACCGACGGCAGCACGTGTTGGGGCAGAGGTCAGGCCAGCGTGGGGTCAGAGACAACTGCAAGGAGGGAAAAGGGTGGTCCATTGATCTGTGCATGATGTTGTCTTCTTGGATATCAAATCAGCTTCCCAGTGGCCGTTGCTGGTTTGCACCTTTCTGGATGTGTTAGCGCAGCACAGCTTTCATGGAGCTGCTCTGGCCCCGAGCTGTCACATCAGGAAAACAGTGAAAAAAGCAGAGTGATGTGATTAGCAAAGTGAAAATGGAGCAATTCTCCACTGACCTCACTCTCACTCAGCATCACATTCTGCCCCGGGGCTATTTCAGAACAGCATAGTGTTGAAATGGACTAAAATTAATATATTTTCTTCATTTGGTCAGATACTTTAATCCAGAAAATCACAGCTACAAGTATGCTTGGAAAAATTGTAAAATGATGGCATAAAGGAACAAAAGTAAGTTTTGTGTCAGTTTTACCTGGTTCTCAAGTGTTCAGGCAGAAAATGACCGCTTGTGATTATAAAGAACTAATTCCTTTTTCCAGCGCTCCAGTTTTGTGGATCAGCTGGCGAGATGTGTTAGTGCTGATTCCTTCCCACCTCTGAGCCACTCTATATAGTCTGTAGTTGCATAGCTACTGGATATGGCAAAAAATATTATAGCAAAATAATATCACAGCAAAATAATATTACAGCAAAATAATATTACAAATGTTGCATTTTTAGAAGCCAAAGGAAATGAAGTTTAGGAGACCAGAAAGATCTGCAGATTTTCTTTTCAGGTTATGAGGACCAGAAATGGATCCTTTAAAGTGAGTTAGGAAAGTTCTATGGGTTTTAAAAGCACTATCAGGTTCCAGTTAAATACACTTTGCCAGAGACGTTTTTTAAAACCTCTTTGGAATCACAATCTACAATTCAGAGGATTTATAAATCCTAATGTGTATAATGTTCTTTAGCCCCAGCACTTAAGTGCCATGTGGTTAAATTGGCAGCACAGCAAATGGAAATATCATCCTTTAAATAATGTGTAGATCAGGAGGTAAAAACTTGATGGGACAACTTGCACTGTCATTGTCCAGGGTAGTTTCACCATCCTCCTTGCAATGCAACTGAAAAACAACATAGCTGAGGGTGAGGGAGTGTTTTAGTCTTCTTGGGGTGTGCTCAGCCTGTCTTTGAAAACAGCCAAGAAGAATATCATGGCATTAGAGCTTGTCCTCAAGTAAATGGATCAGGAAAAACAAAAGGTTTGAATTAAAAATACATTCACTGAGGTGCGTTAAATTCCTCAGTGGCTGCTGACATTTTCCCTGGACCTGTGGATGGGTGCTCCCAGAAAACCCACCAAATATGCCACAGCCATCCCTGGGGTAAGCCTGGCTGCCTGGGTCTGCCACTTCCCTTTTCCTGAAAAAAAAAAAAAAAAAATATAAAAATTGGCCTTTTCCATCCTGTTAAATTGGAATTAGTGTGGCTTCCACCTGGCCCTGAAAATGGACTTTACCTGCCTCCTGTTCTTCTTGCCTGAGAAAGGGAGCTAGTGTTAATTTTGCTCATGTTCTCTCCCTTTCTTGTGACTCTTCTGGCATTCTGATTTCTCCTGCTCTGCCACTGCTCAGGTTTCCTTTATGTGCTACAGAAATTGTAGATACAATGATAGACTCAAAGATAATTTGTCTCATAAGAAAACCCCATGCCCAAGGGTACTGAATATTTCTTTCCAAAAAGTTCTCTTTTTTCCTCTTTTCTTCTAGCCCTCCTTCAGCAAGCATTGTTTTGTTAACCCAGGGTGTGGTACCTGTTGTGAAATCCTGAAGCCTTTTGCATAAAGTGTTTTGTAGTGTCACCTAGTGGCTAAATACAAGTACAGTGAATGTCCCCTGACACTGCGAGATCTGCTTCGGGAGGAAAAATAGGAATAAGGACAGAAACAAAACAAACTCTAGAGAATCAGTCACATAAGGAGAGGCTGAGGCAGCTGGGGGTGTTTAGCCTGGTGAAAAGGAGGCTCGAGGGGGATCTTCTCATTCTCTATGACTCCCTGAACGGAGGTTAGAGCCTGGTGGAAGTGAGGCTCTGCTCCCAGGAAACACTGATAGGACAAGTGGAAATGACCTCATGCTGTACCAGGGGAGGTTCAAGTTGGACATAAGGAAGAATTTGTTCACTGAAAGGGTTATTAAGCACTGGAAGGGGCTGCCCAGGGAGATGGTGGAGTCCCTGTTGCTGGAGATGTTCAAGAAACTGGATGTGGCACTCAGTGCTCTGGTCTAGTTGACGAGGTGGAGATTGATCAAAGGTTGGACTCAATCTTGGAGCTCTTTTCCAACCTAAAGGATTCTGTGATTCTGTGAAAAAGAAGAACTGAAAAAATAAAATTTTCAGGATAGATACAGAAAGAGGATGAAATCAGGGTGGACTAAGAGGATGTCACAGGTGTTTGTTTTCAATGTCCAGAAGTTCAGACAAAAACTATGAAAGATGAAAACTTAGGGCTGACCTCCAACTTTTCAGTACCTGCTTGTGAAACTGCAGAAAGAGAGAGGAGAAGGGGCTCAAAGCCCCCAGCTTGGTGAAATGGGAGATTTTGGGTCTGACAAGGACAACCTACGGTCTGCCCAGGTTTTATAGGGAAGTTAGCTGTTTCCATTCTCATGGGGCACTGCAAGGTTTGCTTTGTGGGATTTGCAGGCACATGGGAGCCCTTTCCAGGTGCATGCAGGGGGTTTGTTCTGTGCAATGTTACTTTGCCACCCAGCACATGCAACACACAACAGCCCCGACAACTCAGGGAAGGGTTGCAAATTAGTGTGCCTGCAAATCCTGGGGCTGTCTCCAGGGCTGGATAATGGATAATGGGCAAGTCAGGGCTGGGTAATGCACAGCAGGCAGGGCACACAGGTGTGCAAAAGCTGTGATCACCTGGGATAATCCACAAGAAAAGGCACCAGCTCTGCATGTGGGTGCAAGAGAAACAAGGCTGCTTCTCCTGCTGGCTCCCAGCACTGACTCCTGCCTTGCCTCTTCCAAGGCTTTCCCTGACAGGAGTCACTGCTGGCAGCCCTGATCATTACACCACTGGCACGACCTTTGCCTTAAACTCATGGCTGAAATCCACCCTTCCTGCTCCAGATATTTCCTGCAGAAGTTATGTGGAGGAAGAAGAGGTGGCTGCAGTGTAGCCCCCACCTGGCCCCTTCATTCCCTGGAAATCTGAGCACAGGAAGGGAAGTGAGTGATGTACCCTAAAGAGAGGGCCTAAAGCAAAGTGAGGTGTGGGGAAGAGGTGGCTCTCCTGCGCAGCTCTCACCTGGGCCGAGTGCTGCTTGTCTGGCCCTTACGGTGAGGTTGCCCTGCTGCTCTGTGCCTTCCCCTTCTGGGAGCCTGACAGCCACTGGAAGGGGAAGGCAAAGAGCAAATATGCTGAGAAATCACAAAAAATGTAGGTGTTTCTTTGGCTGTTTCCATCTCTCTGTGTCCTGCATTGAGGCTGGTGGCTGCTGTGTGTACCCCAGGCTCGGGAGGGTTTATAGGGTCAGCACGGGATTTATCTTTCCTGTGCTGCTGGGAGCTGCTGTCTTGCTGGGGACAGTGTCCCCTTGCACTCTTGATGGCAGTTTCTAAGTGCAATTTTAATACTGATAGCTCAGAACAGCCTGTACTACCTGCCTGATGCAGGCTCAAAAGTTATGTCCCACTTATGCTGTACTTTCTACCTGTAAGTGTGAAAGAATCTAAAAAGACTTCCCAGACACATGTGAAGGAGATTAAGAAACACAGAGGATCTGTGAGCATCTCCTGGAGAGAGGGAGAGAAGAAAATATACAATTCTAATGGAAAAATTCAGGACATTGATGGATGGTATCACATAGTCTGGGCTTACCCAGGCACCTGGTCTTCAGGTATGTGCTCTGCCTGTGGTTAGATGGCATGCAAACCTCTGTGTGTGTGTTCCCTGCTTTCCTTTGGGAAGTCCAGTGCTGTCTCATCAGGCCCCTTTTCTGGGCAACTGAAGGAAAAGGACTGAGGTGAGAACTTGTGGACGTTTACCAGTTTCTTTTCATAGTGAGTTCCTCAGAAACAGTCTGTATTTCTGTTTTCTTAAAATGTCCTTTAAAGCTGAATTAATATTAGCCTTGTGTCTGGTCTGGTGTTACTCCCATGAGATGATACCATCTGACCTATGTCTGCTTCTCCTGGGGCTGGTGCTGGGGCTGGAGATGAAAGGGAATGATACTGGAAGTGCAAATGCTGTTGTACATCCTCCTTGGGTTCCTGCATAAGGTCAGGTGCCCTATCCCATGGAGTGCTCTCCTGTGTGAAGAGGAGGAGATGTTCCCGTGGTTGGCTCCCCTCCAGAGGTATCCAGCCTTGGAGGGTGGGAAGGGAAGAGGTTGAGCATAAGCTGCAGCCTGTTTAGCTCTTTGAGAGGGGTTGGTGGCTCCATCTGAGCCGGGCAGTGGCAAGGCTGAGCAGCCAAGCTGCTGCAAACCCTCACACAGGGCTGTGCTTTCCCATCCCACAGAAAGCATTCCATCTTCCTCTCCAGCATGGTGAAGGAGGCAGCTTTTGGAGCTACCCAGACAAGTCATGACGAAGGCTCACTGCACTTTGAAAAAGGTGGCATTTTCTTTTCTGGGCCACCAGTGAAGTCCAAGGTGACTGTGCACACTGTGAACATTTATTTTATCGATTTTTCTAGACTGACCTAAATTCAGCAGTGATTTGGTGCTGCGATATTTTGAGGCTGACTGTTCCTATTTAAAATAGTGCAGACCCATTTCCTAGCCCAGCTCTTGGGTTCTCCAGGAGGATCAAGACTTGGGGCTGTGTACCCTGATGACAGTCAGATGTTGCAGAAAAAAATATGACACTCCTCACAGAAGATTTTAATGAAATATTTCTGAAATCAAATTGAAGAGTGGGAGGTTGAACTCTTTGGCAGAGCAGATGAAAAGAAACATCTGTTTTCTTTACCCTGGTTCTGGCCACTTAAAAAGAGATGTTATTGGCTTGGCTCTGGTGAGAAATCAGATGTGAAGAAAGGCTTGAGTGTGGTCTGCTGTAAGCTGTAACATACCTGGGCTGTGGGACCACTCTGAGAGATATGTGCAAGATATGTGCTCTTGAGTGTCAAGAGCATCTCCACTTCCATTGGCAGTTCTTCCTCATTTTGGATTTCCCCCTCTCTCTGGAGGCATTTTGAGAGGCAGAACATGAGAACTCCCCTGCAGCCTCCTCCTCTCCTTTCTGTTACCAGGGGCAAGGACCAGTGCCAAATGACAGATGAGATATTTTAATTGCTTGGCTTGTTTAATATTCGTGGTTAAATATACACCAAATCCTTCAGCTGCTGTAGAATGAAAATGTTATAAAGCAAAAGGTCAATTTTCTGCTGCTTCCCTCTAGAGTATGGAGCACAGTTGAAATGCATAATGCTCTTCTGGGAGCCTAATAATTTAATTGCCCCTATGTATCCATCTCCACGTGCATTTTGTTTTTGTTCCAGGTACATAAATCTCTACCCCTCGATGTTCTTCAGCAGGTGGATGCTGGTGTGATTAAAGTGCTGATAACAGGTATTACCAATGGCAGCACAGTGGTAGGTTTCAATTTAGTGGTTGCAGAAGATGTGGATATCCACTGTGTCATCACCACTTTTCGGGATGCCTTGGAACACAGCTCCTACTTCACCATTGACAAGAGCAGCCTCTCCATAAAGGGTAAGGAGCAGCTTGTATCCCAAGAGTTCTTCAGAACTAGAAAGATGATAAAGCCTGTTATTAATCTGAATCTTTTGAAGTGAAAGTATGTGTAAAACAGGCGGATGAAAAGCCTTTCTTTCTCTTTATATTGCTCCTGCTTATCCATCCAAGAAGTTTTTTTACATAACATGAATAGATGACATAGGAAATGAGGTACCACTGATCCAAAAGGACAAATCCAACAGGTATTTTTGTCTATATCAAGAAACAATTCTATAGAGAAGAAGGTAAAGGGATGTTAGATATGCTGGTCACAAATTTTAGGGTCCATAAACTACCAGTGGAAATGGGTCCTTGTACACAGCCATAACTAGCTCTGTTTAAAAGAATTAAAAACCACATTGCCCTCTGCTTTGCACTGATAATTTTGCACGTGATAGAAACCCCAAGAAATAAATAAATGAACATGTGAATTCTTCTTCACTGGGAGCACAAGTTTTCCTCACACATCTGTGGATTGGGAGTTCAGGTGAAAACCCACATGTTACCAAGACCAGCACGATGGCTGATTGTATAACTTCTTTTCCTTTATATATAATTTAAGTAAGATATATATATATCTATCTTATTTCTTAAATTGTATATATATAATTTAAGAAATATTAGTCTCCTAATGGCTGACTAACAGCTGCTGAATTCTTCTCACAAGTTATCTCTGAAAAAAATACCAAAACCAATATCCTTGATGTAATGCATTTGTTAAAACTGTCAATTAGAATCTAAAGTAAAATTACTTCAGAAACATGTTTATGCTCTGCCCTGTGCATCCTTTTTGCTTATTACTCTCACAGCTGTAAATCTGGAAAGTTACAAATCCTGTCAATTAGTAGGATCACAACTATCTCATGTTGGGGCTTGTAGAGTACCTGTCCCCCTTGAACCTGTGCTAAAACAAATGGTTTGTTGTAGGGACAGGTCCCCATAGAGCAGGTGCTGCTTTCTGAGTCCCATCTTAGGTGGTATGTCCTTACCTGCTCTGATTTTTAGACGTTGGGAAAAGAAAGGGAAGTAAATGTGTATTTTACCTTTAAAAAGTGAAAATTTTGGCCAGGTAAAAATTAAGAAACCAACCAGATGGTGATTTGGACCAATCACACAACCCTCCTGCTTCACTCATGCTGGGAATTTCCCAACAACCTCCTCAGGAGTGTGAAATGAGGGAATAACCGAGGAAGCCTCCAGGTTAGGAGCATCCTCTTGGGCTGCTGATGAGTTTAGGAGGACAGGAGGAGTGTGCCTATATTTAAATATCAACTGAGCATCACTGGCAGCCCAGCTCTTGAAGGGGTTTGTCAGTGCATTGCAATTTTCCCTCTAGGCTGTGCTTCTAGTATCCCACCTCTCCTCGACCCAGCAGCTGCCTGACACACAGAGTGGGGTGTCACACCTGAGAGGTGTGATCTCATCATGACACCCCAGTGATTTGACTATTCTCCAGCTTCAGAACTACCAGATTGTCATTTATACACTCTCCAGCATTGTCTTCTGCTTAAATGTACCACCCAACAGATTATGATGAATGCACAAGCAAAGAGGGGACAGAAAAAATAACAGAGAAGGTAACAGAAAGTACTAGATAGGTGGCTTGACCTCTGTATGGCAAGAGGAAGGAAATGTTGGTATTACAAACTTCCTTTTGGTACGAATTGATTCATCTGGCCTCTCTCTTTCCCCAAGTCATTTGTTAGCTGGTGTTTGACGGGTCTTTAAGCTCCTTCTCTTAGGCTTCTTCAACAAATTATATTTGCTTTTGTAACCACGTTGATAAGGAACTCTTTCACTGAAGTCACATCGACTTGTCAACTGATACCAGTTCAGTTTTCTTTAACTAAGAGAATAATGTCATATTAAGCTTTTGTGAAATCCAGCTCTGAAAGAGCTCAGGCTTTTATTTTTCTTCCTCTGTTGCTCAAATCAGTAACTTTTTCATTTGGGGCATTTCTGAAAGCTGGGGAGTTTCAGAAGGAGATATATATATATATGTGTGTGTGTGTGGGTGGGTGTGTTTGTGTGTGTGTTTGGTTTTGTGTACAGATTTTACATGTTGCTTTGTAAATAGATGCTATTTGTATGTTCAAGACACTAAAATTATTTAAGAGAAATTTTGTGCAATGAGACACATTGACACACTGTGCAATGAGACACACTGAAACACTCTGTGTTTCAGTGCAAATGGAGTTTATTATCTTCATGGTCTCTAAGTCAGTGGTGGATGAATAATTAGGATGCTTCTACCAGCAAAGAGCCACAGGGTAACCCCAGAGCCTGTGCTGGATGTTTGGTATTCAACAGGCACACTGATCTCAACCTGTGAGATCACAGGTTTTTTTCCTTCCTTTTCTCCACTTGCTTTCTTCCTGAAACAATTAGAGATTGCTACCAACACATTTATTCACCTTCCCACTCTCTCTCAGGACACAAATGGGCAATGTGGGTCTGCTACATGAGGTTTGTCTCACCCTTCCCCCCCAAAATGGGTTTTCCAGGTGCTCAGGGTCAATTTTTTTTGGGTAGCAACTGGTCACAAATGGGCCCAGTTTTTTTTTAACAAGCTCTACTCCTGTTTATAACCTCACCCAGAACTGTGGAGTCTCCTGCAGTACTAAGCAAAAACATACGAATACTTGTTGAGCCACTTGCAGGTGGGGATCTCTCGCAAGCACTGATCTTCCAAAAGCTGTATATACATGTTTTACACACTAACTGTTGCAGCTGTCAGGAAATAAAGCACTTGAGCTTTACTGACAGGCACTGTGTGTCTCTCTGGGGCTCTTAAAAAAAGCCACAGCTTTGGCAGCAAGTGGAGCAAGTTAAAAAAACAAAAGAGGTTAGTTTCCTGCCAGTAACTGTGAGTTTCCTCCTTGGACTTTGCTTTTGACTTATGAAATCAATCTGAACCTGTAAATTACAACAGTACCTTTATTTTTTTGGCACTCTTCAGCACTTCCTATCAGCCAGAAGGCAACAGTGACAGATAAGAAACCTGTGCACAACACAGTTTTATCTGTGACATCTTTGCAAACTTCTTTCCCTGCTTCACTGGACTTCTCTGCTGATGAGCACAAAGCTCTGGAGGACACCACATTCTCCAGCACGGTGCTACCTCCTCTCACCAAGGATCCCGTGTCAACTCCTGATGTTTCTCCTCAAGCATCTCCAGCCCCCCTTGCCAAACCTGCCCAGGAGGCTTCCATTAAAGACGCAGTGAGTGTGTTCTGTGAAATTGAGAAGATCGTCCTGGCCATCCAGAAGAGGTTTTTGCAGCAGGAGTCCATCCCAGAAGCCTCCCTGTACCTTGGGGAGCCTCACTGCAATGTGAGCAGGAGCAATGGCACCCACGTTGTGCTGCAGGCAGGATGGAGAGACTGCGGCACCGAGGTGGAGACTGTAAGTCCTCTGAGCCAGGGAGTGCAAAGAAACTCTGGAGCACTTCTATCTCTGGGGGTGTTGAGGAGTGAGGCAATGGCAGACCCTTAGTTAGGTGTACAGTCTATCAGTTGTTGAAACTCCTTTGGAGATAGAAACCTCCTTCCTGTGATGGAAAGTTACCTCTCTGTTTGGGATGAGGGCCAAGCACAAAACAGAAGGGGAATCTTTGAGGTCAGGCAGCAAAACTCACAGAATCACAGAATGTGTTGAGTTGGAAGGGACCACAAGGATCATCGAGTTCAACCCCTGGCCCTGCACAGGGCCATCCCCAAGGGTCACACCATGTACCTGAGAACATCCAAATGCTTCTTGAGCTCTGTCAGCCTTGGTGCTGTGACCACTGCCCTGGGGAGCCTGTTCAGTGCCCAACCATCCCCTGGGTGAAGAATCTTTTCCTGATATCCAACTTAAACCTCCTCTGACACAACTCCAGGCCATTCCCTTCGGTTCTGTCCCTGGTCTCCACAGAGCAGAGCTCAGTGCCTGCCCCTCCTCTACCCCTCTCAAGGAAGTTGTAACTGCAGTGAGGTCTCCCCTCAGTCTCTTCTTCTGCAGCTGAACACACCAAGTGACCTCAGCCACTCCTCACACCGCTCCCCCTCAAGGCCCTTCACCATGTTCCTTGTCCTCCTTCGAATGCTCTCCAAGAGTCTCTCCAAACTGAGAGTCACTTCCCACGCCTCTCTGGGTTCCCTTTGCAGCTGTTAGAAGCTCCTCTTTTCTTAGAAGCAATTTCATCATCTCATTTTGACAAATACTTCAGTTGGTACCAGTAGCAGGGACAGAGAGTGATGGTTATCTCCTTGGATCCCAAACCAAAGGTTATGGTCAGACCAGACCAAAGTACGGAAATTCCATTCTGGAGCAATGATCATTGCTAAGGAAGGATCATTGTCCCATCCCTGGAAGTGCTTAAGGCCAAGTTGGATCGGGTTCTGAGCAACCTGGTCTAGTGGAGGTGTCCCTGCCCATGGCAGGGGGTTGGAATGGGATGATCTTTAAGGTCCCTTCCAACCCAAGTAATTCTGTGATTTTATGATTCTATGACATGATATGAAGGAAAGTGAGGAAGAATCGAGGATTTTTCATTGTCTCACTGTACAGTAACAAAGATATTAGAGGTTTAATGTGATTTTTGTAGCCAAGAGAATGGAGAATACCTGAGCATTTGACACTGGTAAGCCTGTAGCTCTGCTGTATCCCTATAAACACTGATGTTCACAAGCTGTGCTTTTTTCCTTCTGCGTTGCAGAACGTGACTAATACTGTAGTGAAAACCATCCTTCGGAACGACATTCCTGCTCAGGGAATAATCCACCACTTAAAAGTTGCCAGTCCCATTAGCTGTGTGTTTCAAAATGATGTCTTGGCTTCCTCTGGGTACACTGCAGAAGGGTAAGTAACAACTCTTTCTGCTTTGAAATGCTGCTGTGTGGCTGAGTGCTGCTGCACTGGGAAGATCCCCAGGGGCTGTAGCTGTATCCAGTGAAGGTGCTTGTAATGCTGAATAGTCTGCCATCCTGGGAGTCCTGTGCTCAGGAGATTCCTGCTATGTGCTTCTCTCCCACTCAACCTATTGTGCCATTAGATCCAGGAGCCAACAAGCTTGAGAGGGAAATAAACCTTTGGGTGCCACTGGTGCAGGTTCAGGAATTCAGAGTTCCTCACTTCTCTTTGCCTTTCTGGGCAATCCCATGTAGCAATAACAGCATTTTCCTGCTTTTGGAACATATCAATAATGTATCTTTTTACCTGATGTGGGTCTGCAGACTCCTCTGTAGGTTCTGAGAGTGGCAGTTATTAACCCCCACAAATCCTGATTCGGTCAACTTGGAAAAAGAGAAGACACATAACGCAAATCACAGGGGTTTTTATGGAAGGCACTATCTTCAAGTTAGATGTAATCAAATCCACACTTCACAGAAAATCAAGCTCATTCTCACAGAAACTGTGGCAGCACAAGCTTTACTCTGTTGGGGAATGTCCTCCCTTCACACAAATTCACCTCCTCTAGGACCATGCTTAACCTACTGGCACCAAATCCACCTTCTGCTTCCTAACCCTATCCAGACATCATATTTTCCTTTCTGTTCCCCTGCAAAGTCTTTGTCAGGCCCCTTCTCTCTGAGCTCTATAATTTTCTCATGCCCATCACTTTCTGGGATTCAGATTTTGATTACTGAGTTCAGATTTGTTCTTTATAATTTCTTTTGGCTCTTCTCCTCTGCACTAAGCTTTTACTGTTCTTATTTTAAACTTTCAGAGAACTTGTGGTCTTGTTCCCCTTCTGCTGCACTCAAATCTCTTTCTCTGCCCTGCTTGTATTGCAGAGACATTCCACCCTTTGGATTTTCCCACTTGTGTTTCCATGTTCTCTGCCTTCCCAACTGGATGCATTTTCCTCCTTTCCTTTTGAACAGTGTCCTGACACTCTGAACTGCAGATAACTCTTCACTATTTATGTGCTCAAGAGGTGGAGAAACAGCCACTGATTTATGACTTACAGAAGCATACAGTAAAATTTGTGGTCTTTAAAGGAGGCTAATTGATTTTTCAGACTTTACACCATCTTTGAGGACTTACATGGATCTGGACACTTCAGAACACAAATGCAGCTGTTTATTGGGAACTCCCCAATACCAAAGAACTTCAGTGTCTCTGCCAGTGATGATGTGCTGATCGAAGTGGGGATCCAGAGAGGGGACAGCAAGCTCAAGGTGGTCCTCACTGACTGCTGGGCAACTCCAACTAATAATTCAGTGGATCCCCTCTCATTTGTTTTTATCAGCAACAGGTACAGCAATACCACTTACAAATAGCATCTGTCATGCCTTGGATCTTCCAGTGGCACTGACTGCTAATGTGTTACATTTTAAATGCCTTTTATGTGTGTTCTTGTCATTCATGTACCTGTTCCCTTTCCATTTGGACTGGTCACACCTTTGAACAACAATAGTAGGTGTGAAAAGGGTTTTCAAAGGGCCATGTCATAGTTGTTTGAGCTTCCTTGTCTTCCCTGCAGTTTTGTCAAGGCGTTGTACTTTTGACCTGAAGGTGATTTTGGCAGTCAGCAGTGAAAGAGCATTGGAAAAAATGTGTGCTTTATCTATTTCTCTGTGGTTCAGAGCTTTCTCTTGTGGTTTCAGCTTTACCAAGAGCTTACATGCCTCTCTTCAATGAAGAAATAGGTTAGCTAATCCCTCACATGTGAGGGATTAATGCAGCCTCTGGTAAAACAGGAGTTTTGTTCCTGTCTGGATCACTAATGTCACCCCAATGTCATACCCCTTGGGCTCACCTGCCACCTTAAAATACAGAATAATCCTTTTGCTCAGTAACAAAATCTATTCCTTTTAATGTGATGTTTTTTCAGTCTGTGTTTGGTGAAGCCAAGTTTAAATCCTTCTTTCTGCTACTCTTTCCTTTGTTTTCCAACCCTCCGACCACTTCTCAAATCTCTTCTTCTATTTGGTTACTGTGGCAATAAGCAGCAAACATCCCCTTATCATCACTGCACTGCCAGAGTTGCTTCATGAAGGGTCTGGCTGTGACTTCCTGAAGGAAGGAAAGGCCTTAGAACACAATTTATGTGCTATAGCCACAACTTGCCTTCTCTAGCCCTATCTGTCTGGTTTTTCTCTTCCTTTTCAGCTGTCCCATCCCAAATACATACACCACACTGATAGAGAATGGGAACTCAAGCAAAGCCCAGTTTAAGATGAAAATTTTTTCCTTTGTCAACAATTCTGTGGTTTACTTACACTGCAGAATTCGTATCTGTATGGAGACACCAGGAAGAACCTGTAGGACAGTAAGTGTTTTGCTATTTTTCTTCCCAAAAATATGTATTTTTCTCAGTGCCTTATGCTGTCCTGCAGTGGAATGGAAGGAGTAATGTTTCCAAACTGGGCTTAAATAGCTCTTGAAGTTTCCTTCATTCTCTGCTGGGAGCAGAGAGAAGTGGGGAAGGACTACAACCATGTGGAAGTGTCTGCCTTTCTTCCTGTTCCTCATGCTCATAGTTAAAATCATGGAGCTTGCACAGAACTGGGGAACCTGAGAATTGGACCTTCCTCCTCTGCATAGGGGTGGCTAGAAATTAAACTGTTCAGAAAAGTATCAGTTCAGATGGACATGACACAAAAAAGTGAGTACCCATACTTGCAGTGTCAGCAGGAAAAATCAGAGTAAATTGGTTCAGGATGTTTTCCTTTTTTTTTTTTTTTCTTTTCCTCTCGAGATCTGATGCTTCAGCTGAGACTTTAGGTGCCAGGACAGGAAGCTCAGTGGCATTAAGTTTCTAGGTCTGTGACTCTAATAGAGTTTATTAGGGCTTTTTAAAGCCTGATTGCTTTTTAAAGCAATAAACAAAGCAGTGTTCTGATAAGAACTGCAGTCTCTAATTGTCTGGGCTACAAAGCATTGCTTTGTTTCTATTTACTTCCAAGTAAGTGATACACAACTTTATCTAAAAATGTGGTGCTACTATAGAAATAAGAAAAAATACGTTTTGCTGATGACTTTTTTTTTATTTTAATAGCAGACAGTTGGGAATTCTCTTCTTCTGACAGCCTTCCTGGCTCTTTTTCTATCAAGGATGTTTTCATTAGCAGTTTGGTGTTCCTCCATTGTTTACCACTTTCCTCTAGCTCTAAATAACACAGTTTCAGCCCATTATAAAGCAAACAATCTCTTCCTGAAAGATTAAAAATGGCTACCAGAAGATACCTGTTTCCTTTCTCTGAGTATAAAGCTTCCTCCAGATTCAGTAAATAAATAAATAAATAAATAATAAAGAAACAAAGTAGGGACAGGAAACAAGACTAACAGTGGTAAGATGACCCCCATTTTTGCAGTTCAATATGAATATACTTGTTAAAAAACAGTGGTTCAGCAACTGCCAGTCTATGCCTTTCTTTGCAGGAGGTGCTGCCCTCCCTGAATTCACTGTGCCCTGCACAGCTGAGGAGGAATATATCTATATATCTCTCTACACATGTATATCTATATGTATATGTACATTTTTCTTTCTTCTATGCAAAATTTACCCCCATGAAAAGTCAGTGAATTCAATATCTTAGATTGAGACCAAACTGTGATGTGGAGAAGACAAGCATTAGGCACCTCTACTTAAGGATGACCTTTTTCTTTCACACAGAAGGGAGTGGGAGCTGCAGAAGGTGCAAAGATCAAGGAAAACTGGAACAAGAGGGTATATTTGGAAATAGTGTAAGATGGCTGGGAAAGGGCCCAGGGTCTGGGATCTGATCCTCTGATCTGTTACTTCAGATGGTACTGTCTTGTTCAGGTCAGGTTTGCTTCAGCTCTTTACCCACAAAATTGAGAGTTGCATGTTGCATTATCTCTTCTTACTCAGTCTTTTTTTCCCCCTTGTTTTCTCAGTGGAAGAGAGTAAGGTGCTCTAGAGTTTGGAGTAAAAAGAAATAGGCTGGGGAGTAATGTAGCAAGAAATGAGTAAGAAACATGACTTTGAATGAGGAGTGGTGTCTGGTGGAACGTGGCTGCTCTGTGGCCACGAGGAAACAGAAAATCATTGCCATCAGGGAGCAGCTGCATGAGCATATTCTCTAATGGATCCTCCCAGATGGGAAAGCTATTTGAGGGTAGACCAAAATCATAGACACATGGGTATTTTTCTGGGGGCTGACCCAGCTAAAGACAGTTTCTGGCATTGGATTGTAGAGGATTTTCGGTGTAACCAGTGGTAACATATTCTTCTGTATATAAACTGGTAGGACACCCTTGCAATTCCCTGCTTTCTTTTGCTGATTATAGCATGATGCTGCAGTATCTCTATTTTATGTGCACTTCCAGGAGAGCCACAGTATTTTTTTAATAATTCCATTAGGCTGCAGTTCCCATCAGAGACCTTTAGGCTGCAACTTATACCAAAAAGGTGGCAAACAAAGTGAATAGTGCTGTCGAGGCAGTGTGCAGAGGATGAGTGTACTGCGTGTTCTGAAAGTGCTGCTCACACAGAGCTGAAGCAGCTGATCCCCAGCATTTCACAGGGCAGGGCTTTCAAACTAGTAGTTCTCAGATTATTAATTCACATGTCACTGAAGTTGTGTGTAGCTCCAAAATGACACGTGGCTTGGCAGGGACTGAAAGTTGCTGCTGCTTTTGGTGGTGCTAGTTTTGGCATCTGCCGTGCCCACCATGGGCAGTAGAAACACCCCAACAAAAATGTTTGCAAAACCCTGGCATATAGAAATAGTGAGAAATTTATTCTCCCATAAAACTTCTTTAAAAAAACCAGAAAGTTAACAAAAAGAAAGGGATTGTCTGTGTGAAATGTCTGTTCACAGCAGTGTTTTCCAGTGTGACTAATTACAGATTTCATACTGATGCCATTTCCTTTGAACTTCCTTTTGGTGCTAATTTCAGTTGAACAAAGCACAACATTAAGAAACAAAAACCCCAATGAGTGAGAGTAGCACTGGGCTTTCACATGCTCATCAGAAGGCTTTGTGTTTTTGATTAAGTAAGCCACATTACTTGTTGGAGTTTGAATTGATTGTTGCAGAAATGCCACCCCATGGTTCGGTTCCTGAAGGCTGGAGAAATCATTGCTACACAGAGAACATCCTGGGGACCCCTGTGTAAAGCAGCTGGTGAGTTCTGAACAGATGCTTGCAAAAAAAGGGACACCACATAACAGTCATTTCAAGATCATCTTTTACTGGCAAAGGAAGCTGAAGACCTGTGATGCAAGGTTTTCATGCCCCTCTGCATATATTCCTGAGGATCATGGGTTCTTGCTGAAGCCACGTGGCAACGTGGAGGACCCTGTGCCCTCCTGGGTGAAGTGACTGTCAGGTTGTCAAGGCAATGTAGAAAGGAAGATAAAGTGCTTTGTGCAGCTGTTTGCACAGGGCAGCAAGTGCAGCAACCACAAAATCAAACAGCAATTTCAATTGTGAAGCGTGAAAGCAGCTTCCATCTTTCAGATTGCAATCAGTTTTCCAAGTGCTTACCCTGCTGTTGGTCTGCAATTGTATTGAGCTCTGAAGGCCAATGTCTGAGGATGCAAGAGATTTTGTTGTTGTGTTTCCTTTGACTCTCTGGCATTGGCTTCTTTACCACCATGAGGGGAAGTGGCAGAGAGCACAGCTGATGCACAGCACGTTGGAGGAGAGGTGCAGTACAGGTTAATAGAGAGCAAACACCAGCATTATGTACAAGCAAGGTCTGACTTGTTATGCACTTGCCTCTTCTGCATTCTGAGTGGTGTTTTCAAGGGCACCTGTGATCTGTAATGTTTTCTGTCATCAGGCCTCCTCCAGCCACTTGCATTCATAACTTATTAATTTAAAACACTCTCTGAGAGTATCTGGCGTCGCCAGCACCAGAGTTTTAACATGTGGCTGCTGCGAATAGAGAGTTCACAACGTTCTTTTGGACCTAGAACTGGACTCTGACTCAGCATATTGTATTTTTCTTCCATTACATGCAAATGTTTGTCTTTTCGAATAGGCCTTCAGTGTTCATTTCTGAACTAGTTATTTTTTAAAAAAACTTAGCTATTAATGCAGCTTGTTTTGTTCTTCAGCTCTTAAGCAACTCCCACAATCCTTTTCACAGGAAACTCCAATGGTTTTCCAATACTGAAAAATGGCCATTTCCCCAAGTGACCTCTGGCGAGGGGAGTTTTATTTGGGTTGTACTGCACTGATTCCTAGGCAAAGGTGGCACCACCAGAGGTTTCTCCTATTTCCAGTTTGGACACTCACAACTCATTTTAATTGTGAGGATAGACCTAGACAGTGATCTGCATCTCTGTGTTGAAGGAGACAACATGAATTATGATGTCAGGTAATAACAAGTGTAACCTGTACAGTGAGACACAAAAAAAGCTCTCACTGCTCTGCCTACACTTGGCCACATTCCATAGCAAAGGCCACTGCTACATGTCCTTAGGAAGGCCTGCTCTGTCTGTATCTGGATACAGGCTTCCACTTCCACTGAGCGTGTTCTTCTTTATTCCTGTGTTTCATACTGAAATTCAGAAATAAGACTGAATATGTTATACAGCACTGCTTTGACCTGTAGGAATGATGCCCTGGATGTTATGTAGCATGGACACAGCTATTACACACCTCTGTGGCTGCCAACAGTGCCCTTTGGCCAAAACCCTTGTCTGTAATTGCAGGAATGAATGCAGTAGTATTTGCCTTCTGTGTACCTCAGGTACCACATAAGTGCTTGGCTAAGTAAGTGCTGTCCTGAAAATGTAAGCACACAAATAGATGTTTTTGTAGGTGCATCAAGCCTTTACAAGAATGAATTGTAAGTACATGTACAAATATGAAGAGAGGCGCAATGTCAGAGGGAGAGGGGTATCTTTTGGCAGATTTGGACAAATATATGGAAGTGTCTAAATGTAAACCAGGAGAACACATTCTGTTGATGGTTGGTGGTGCCTTGGGAGACAGTTGGCAACACAAGCCTTGACACAGTACACATGGAGAATCCTTTCCTAAATACTTTGTGATTAAAGAAGAGTTACGTATGTGATAAAAACAAGTCAAGTGGGTTTTAATAATCACAGATGAACAGAGGCAGGATTGAGATGGGAGAATGCTTCGCCTTTAAGGTTCTTCTTTCAAAAAGTCTCCAGTGTTGATTCTTTAATTCTTATTTTACTGAAAATCACACTTATATCTGCAGGGACTCTACACTTGTGTGCAAAAGGGAGAACATGGACCATCCTCATGACCTTTCCATGAGAATCACCCTCCTCAAAAGGCTGATACACTACTGCATCACAGTTCTGTGCTGGCAGATTCTGTTGGATAATTTGTAGGAAAGGCTTGTTTTTTACCCCAGTAAAATATTTAAGGATTTCAAAGCTTTTTTTCTCGCACCTCTTGGTTTTTCTTTTTTTTTTTTTTTTTAGCATCTGATTTGAAGAGGGAAAAGGAGGCTGGGATGGGAGTTGGATACATCATCCTCATTGCCCTCACTGTGGTTGGATTTGTGCTGGGAGTTGTGAGCCTTCTCATTTTCCAGTACCAGCGAAAGATGGGAAGATACAACTTCAGATTCAAGTCTGACAGCTTCAGCTACCAAGTGTTCTACGATTAGAGATCCTTGGGTTACCTTGTGTAAGTACTGAATTATGACCAGTTACTTTTTTTTAGCTCTTTGTCTCCTTCCTGAAATGGTGAAATACTTGTAGATGACCATCCTCTATTTGAGAGTATTTGAACCTGCTCTCCTTTTGTCTGTGGGTGAAGGCCACAGAAGGAAGAAAAAAACTGTTCTTGCCTGTTTTCAAATCCTGCATGACTACAGAGCAGGAAGACAGCATTGTGTTCTTCAGCTTCCTTCATGGCTTCCATCTCAGGCAGAGTAAATGACACACCACTTGAAAAGAACACCAATAACCATTTCCCTAAAAGAAACACATCACTTTTGGGTTTGGACCATGGATTGGCATAATAAAGGAGACAAACTTTAGCACTCTTTTTATAAACTTGCTTCAGAAGTTTTCCCTTTCTGCAATAGCTTGGGGATTTTTGGTGGGTGTTTTTTTGTTTGTTTTTAAGAAATATTTTTCAAGAAAATAGTGGGATGTTAAACATAAAGAGCTGGAAATGCTGATGATGTATGAATAGTGCACACAAGTGCCTGCACAGAGTCTGAAAAGATAGCTCTGAGGAGACTTAACCACTGTCACACATTCTGTCTCTGCAACTTGGGAATTTAACACTTTCTCAGAATATCACAGGGTTCAGCACTTTTTCTGTAAAAATTAGTGTGTTCTAGCAGCTCACCACTATTTGGCTTGCTTGCCTCTTTAAGAGGAGGAGAGAGAGGTGAGAAAGCTGGCAGGCTGAAAAAGAACACCTCACTCAGTGGAAAAAGGGAAGAGAAAAAAGAAACAGTTTTTGTTGCTGGCAGCCCATGATTACTACTACTTCACAACTCAGGGATGTTTACCATGGATCAGATTGTGTTCCTGGAAACAGGCTTGTTTGACATTGTTACCAGAGTTAGTCAGCAACCCTTTCCTGGGGGGAGGGCTCCTGCATGACAGTGCAGCTGCCGTGACTACACTGATTTTACTGGACTCATCATGATAGTATTTGCAGATAATTTAGTTCGATTCACCCCAGTGCAATAATGCTTGATATAAATCACAGAGAAAGGGCAGGGAACACTGTACCCCAGCTATCAGCTTGTGAATCTTGAATAGTAGTCACCAGTAGCTCATTGTCTCCCAGTTTTACAGTCAGGTTGATCACAGTCTGTGTGACACCCATCTGTGGGCAGCTCCCAGGAGACAGCTGCAGGTGAGGGTGATGCTCTGATGGCTTCCCAAAGGCTGGGCAGGGCTACCTGTTGGGATTCCAAAGGGATGATACCCAGGACTCCTTGGACTCCCAACTCCAGCAGCTGTACTGTTCCGTCAGTGACACAAGTCCCACCAGAGAGCCACAAAGGGCATATTGAGGTTCATTAAAATAAAACCAGCATATGAAGCCTCTGAATCTCTCCACAGAGAGAAGAATGGTTTGTCTTATATTCATCACCCTGCTCTCCTGAGTGGTCATGGGTATTTACAATACCTGATAGTAATGGGAATTCTGGAGTTGTGCAAACAGAGTGCAGCATAAAGCATATTTTCAGGCTCATAATGCTTACACACCATGTTGGAGTCTCAGCTAATGGCTCCTTTTAGAAGCTGGAGCTACTCAGCTCTTCTTTCCTATATACTAACTTTCTTTGAAAGTTACTTTCTTTGATTTCTCAATCATGATTAATTTGTTTTAATTCTTTTTCCTAGTGGGATCATGTTTCATCATGTGGAGAACTGAAGCTTGTCTTCACTCAACATTTGGCTTTCATTGCTCTTCTCAGTAGTGGACTGGATGGGTCGCAACACTGACCCTTCCAAATTCATATCCTACATAAAGGGCTTCTATATCCTCTGGGGTTTTTTCCCTCTTTTTTTCTTAGCAATCTGGCTCTTCCCTGGTGTCCTAAGAACTATTAATGACTACAGCTCCAGCTTCAAGTGAATTTTGGCAGTTTTTTCCATGGATAAAATAGAAGGGAAAAACCAAAGACCTCATTATTAAAATTCCAAGATTTAGCTCTCCCGCTGTGCCACGTCACTATGTGCCCATCTCAGCATCACTTGTGCCCTTACTATTGACAAGCTCCATGTTTTTATAAATATTCCAGGAAGTGAATCATCAAACCTGCAGAGAAATCTCTTTTTCACTTTGTAATTCACTGTTTACTTAAGGTGAGGTGGAAACTTGGAGCTGCAACAGCGTTGAAGACCTAATTGTGCAACCTCTTAAGTATACTGAGAACCTGGAGAACAAGCATTGGATTTGCCACCAAGTAAGGAAAAGGCACCGTGAATCCGGGGCTTAACCTGCTCAGAGTGCTCTTCAGCACTCTGATTTTGGGATTTGATGGTAAATTCTGTAATCAACAAGGACTCAGTGGAAAAAGAGAAGAGAAAAAAGAAACGATTTTTCCTGCTGGCAGCCCAGATAAATCAATTGGTACCTGTATATTCTGTCAATTAGACCATGATGATTGTGCAGTCAAGCCACAAGTGAGAGCATTCCGATTGCAACTGAATAGTTTATATGTTTGAGCTGAGTTTTGCCTGGCTGCAAGACCATTATTGCTGCAGCAAAGGCTCAGTTTACACACTCTGTTGGGTACAACAACAGTTTGTTCAGCTGGATAAACTGGAACAAAAGCCACTTCCACGCAGTAAGCATCTCCTGCAGGATTCTTTCCTGGAGTACTCTTCTCTGCTGCCCCAAAACTCCACTTCAGGGAGTGTGTTGGAAGATGGAGAGGGAAATGGTGTTGTAACTTGTCCCACCTCCCCTTTATTCTGTTTGCTGCATGTGCTCCTCCCACACAGTGACAGTCTGCTGTACCTGTTTATAGTGAACAAACTAATTCCTCCTCAATACCAATGGACAGCATTATAAATAATTCTTAGTGGAAATTGGTCCTTAATTCGAAGGCATGAACACTTTTAGTAGCCACAGCACTTAGGTGCTGATTATTTGGTACAGAACAGAATAGGAAAGTTGCTTTTCTATCCCCCTAGTCCAATTTCTGTTAGGTAATAAGATTAATGGGGTAAAAGACTTCCACATTTTGCAAAAGGTGATACTAATGGATCTTAGAGGTTTGATGTACACCTTTTAAATACATAAATACATTTCAGAGTTAGTCATTTGCATTGGGCTTTAGATTCAGGTGATTGTGTAAGGAGTAAAACACTTTGACTTAACTTGTCCTTGCTACCATGCCAGATCTTTATATATATATATAAATAATTTAGTTGTCATTACTGAAACTAAATTATCTTTGCACTCTTAGAGTCTGATGAACATAGAAGCATAGAATGGTTTGGGTTGGAAGGGACCTTAAAGACCATTTAGCTCCAAGTCCCTGCCATGACCAGGGACAGCTTCCACTAGACCAGGCTGCTCAGAGCCCTGTCCAGCCTGGCCTTGAAAATCTCCAGGGATGGGGAGTCCACAACTTCTCAAAATAACCCTTAGCTTTTGTTATGTAGGAGTCTCTCAACTTTTGCTCAGTTTTCTCTCAAATGTGTAATGTGTTTGCCTTCTGCACACAGTGAAAGAATAAGCTATTTTGTTACAAATATTTTTCTAGTTTTTAGTACTTACAATCCTGAGCTCCTTGGAGGTGACAGGACTAGAGATCTGCCTATTGATTTTGGTGGAGCTATGCCATTTACAAGGGCTGAGCAGTAATCTTTAGAGAAAATGCAAACCAATAGCTTGTCCCCCATGCTTTGGATGCTCAGCAGAAACTGCTGTTGTGACTGAACCTGTTCAGAAGAATTTTCATGCCTTAATAAAAGCAGTCTTGTAACTTATTGTTGACTTCTGTACTGTTATATTTTCCTTTATGATTTAGTCACAGGTATTAAGATGTACACTGATGCATATGGCAGCATCAAGTATCAGTATAATGTTCAAACATCACTTAAAACACAATACATGGCCTTATCCAAACACCAATGGACTGCAATCACCAACAACTTTATATATTTACATATACTTAGTAAGGGTCTTTTTCCCGAACTTTGCAAAAGATAAACATATTTTTAGTTTCATGTTTTGCGGAAAATACAGCCAAAGGAGTATTCAACCTTCCCAGTTCAATAATAGTATTGCAACAATGTAGTGATTTAATCTGAAACTACTGTCACACCAGACTCCCTGGGCTTTTAATTTGTACAGTTCTGACAGCTGCTCCAAAAGAAGAATTGAGAGCTCTTGTGCTTTAAAAAATATGTCATTAAAGAGCAGCCAGCTCTGGATAGCTCCTTTATCCCTGAGGACTGTTGTCCAGGGGGTCCCACCCACTAATTCCTTAAATGACAGAAAGTTTGCTCTTCCAAAATTCAGTGTCCTGATCCTACTATTCACCTGGCCCATATATCTCAGGCTTGTGAAACCCACCAGGATGTGATCACTGCAGCCCGGGGTGCTGCTAATATTGAAATCTCTGACATTTAAAAACATAAATAAAAATAAATAAATTTTAAAAAAATAACTAAAAAAAAAATTTAGTTCATCTATGCTGGTAAACAACAGGACCAGTAACGCTTCCTCTCTGGTTGGACTGTCTATCACCTGGATTAAGAAATTATCCTCGTGGCACTCCAAGACACTCGTGGATTTCTTACAGATTGCTGTGCTCCTTTTCCAGCAGATGTCAGGGTGATTGAAGTCTCCCAGCAGGATCAGAGCCTGCAAATATGAACGTTTGATCCCCTTGATCAGCAGCCTGTAGTAAACACCCACTACAAGGTTTCCTTTGTTGGCTTGCCCTCCAGTTCTCACCCATGAACTCTCAACTCGTTCATCACTGTTTTTCAAAGGCAGCTCTGTGCAGTCAATCGAATTTTTTACACAGAGAGCAAACCCCTCACCCCTCCTTCCTTGCCAGCCCCTTCTGAACATTTTATAGCCATGGATTGCAGTGCTCCAGCCACAGGATTCATTTCACCACGTTTCAGACAAAGTTCTGATGCTTTAGGGGGCCCATTTTAGACTGCTGTGATCAGTTCCCCAGATCAGGGGTGAAGCAATGTCACCAAACAAGTAGTTCTGACACTAATTGTTTGAAGAGAATTCTAGAGGAGCAGCACTGACCATCTCCTCTTTCCAGTTTGCATTGCCCATGTTTTGTTCTTTTAATGAAGCACTGGCTCTAGGTAATTATTTAAAACAATGGATGAAAAATATGGAGAAATGAAGATTTAGTTTTGACCTCTTACCTAGTTTTCTAGGAAACACTTTAGACCAGTGGTGTGTGTGCCTCATGTCCCTATTGTTCACCAGGGACACAACACTGCTGTCACCTGAAGTGAAACACTCATCATTATTCCTTTCTCTCCTATTATAATGTTGCCAAATTCTGGTCCCAGCAGAGTTGGGGACAAAAAGCTGAGATAATTGGAAAATTTCCTTGTCCATTAAAATATAAACAAGCCATGTTTGTTTATATAATGTCTGTTTATAATGTCTGTTTGGAAAGTTTTCTTGTAGGCTGCGGAAGGAAACAAGTTAAAGGAACTGAAAAAGTTTAGCTGCAATTGATCTAAAAACATGATGTTGTCTCAGCCTGGTGGAAAGCCTGGAGCAGAGAGCCACCTAAGGGCTTCCCTGACTTGCTCCATAACATCTCCTCTGCCTGGGGATCTGTCCTGCAGAGCTTGTGGAAAACCTACAACTGAGTGGTATCCTCTCCATAGAGATACTACTTTTCTTCAAGACCCCTCTCTTTTTTTCCCCCCCCAAGATTTCTCTTCTCTCCTTGCTCTCTGATGATCCAGGCAGGCCCACTTCAACCTAGGGTTTTCAGGGAATCTCTACCTGTTTCCACAACTCACTTCCCTCTGGCTGTGTGTACATCTACCACCTCGTGCTGAAGGGTGCACTGTGTACACTCTTGGATACATAATCTGGATATGATACTGCCAGAGGGTAACACGGGAGGCTTGTCAATGTAGCACCTTTCCACATGCAGAAAATTCCCCTGAAGGTGTTCTCTGCCTCTCCTGCCCTTCTTTCCCCCAACAGTGACTTTTTTTCCCCCTGCAATCTACAGAAGGAAGAGTCTCAGAGACTTAACACAAAGACTTGTACATGAAAAACAACCTTAGCACAAGTGTAAAAGCAGAATCGAGAAAAAAAACAGAACATTTGGAGATGGTAAGGAAAAGAGCAGTAAAGGACCAAAGCAGTGAAACTCAAATGCTGTATGGAAGTGTCACTAATAAATCACTGGTGTAGTGCTTGCAATGGACCCCAAAATGTCCACCCACAATATTCTCTTTAAATCATCTGCTGCTCAATCCTGCCTATAATAAAGGCTATAAAAGGATTGGAATGGTCAGGGTGAATGTGTGTTGCTGCCTAGAACTGAATTTGCTGAAATAACAACTGTAAGGAAACAAAAATATTAACAGTTTTATCAAACTATTTTTGTGTGTGTGTTTGGGTTTGTGTTAGACAAATTTCAACACAATTTAGGAATACTGCAATTATTGAGTGCAGAGAGCTCAATTTGATCCCACTTTTCTCCCTTTTCCTCTTTCTGTCCTTTCAGAGAAAGTATTAGTAGAAGTGTTTTTCCTAGACGCATATAAAAATACTTTATACCTGCTGGAAAATTGCAAGTATCTGTAGGCATAGATGAAGTAATAAACCTTCATTTAAACAGTGATTTTCTCCTTTTCCTGCTTTACTATGGAAAGAACAAATTTAAAAATGAAAGTGGCATTCCTCTTCCTGTAAGGAACACAATCTCTTGGCAGTTGCTTTTCTTTGGTGTCTGTTTTTGCTACAGATAACACTGAGGAGGAGTAGAACCTAAGGACAATGAGAAAAGAAAATATGCCTCAGTTAGTTTATTGATGGTGCAGTGAATATTTGGCACCTTGCTACATGGATTTACTCTTTCTTCGCCTGAATAAAGCCTTTGGGAAAATCCAAGGATAAAATTGTAAAGCTTAATATAGGCATTGGGGAATGTTTGGGAACTCCAAGTATGGTGACATTAGGGAGCTATTTTCAGGGATATTTGGAAGCAGATCAGATAGGGCAGGTTGTGAGTAGCAGTATTCTCAACAGGCTGACACAAATCCATCCCAAAGCACCAAGAAACCTCTGGGACTGTGAAGGTGACTCTGAATTCCAAGAAGAGACTTCCTTTGTGACAGAGACTCTTGGGAAGAATTTTCATTCAGGTAAAATTATTCCAGCAGACAATATCACTGTATCCCTAGGAATGTGCTGGCAGCTAATAGCACTATTGACAGTGTGGATTCTTCATGGCTTATGTTCAGTAATACTGAAACTCTTCAAATCCACTGAGGAAATGTCTGGCTTTACCTCTCTTAGTGCTTTAGCTTTGATATGAAATGCCTGCCACAAACAATGCTCCCGTTTATTAGCTGCCTTTGGCATCTGGCAATTTGAAAGGATGAAGGAAGGGCTACACATTGATATTTTGAACAAATACAGCTATTATTAGTACATGGAGACAGAAGGGTCTTGTGTTTGTTCTAGTGCCAACTTTGAGAGACTAATTACCGAGTATTATAAATGAATAGCATCTTAAGCCTAGTCTAGCACATTTAATTGTGCACTGTATCATACCTGCTCAGAGAGAATGTAAATTGTCCATTGAGTTATTCAGCCAAGAATGTGAAAATATGGCTGAATTTGGAATAGCACGTTTACTGAATCCAACTTCAGTTTTTACAGAGCAGCTTTTGCAGAGCACAGGGCCAAACCAAATGCCACATCTCTTGTCCACGTCCATAATACATGAGTCAGGAGTTACAGATAAACAAGATGCTCTTGGCTTCTGGAGGAGTTTTCTTTATGTCCCTAAAAGATTTTCAGCTGATAGGTTGTTTGAGACACCATTTCGCAGTCCATTTAAAAGTCACCTGGTTTAGTCTCAGGAGATACTAGATAGCACTGCAAATTCCCTGAGTTTCTTGGCGCTTGTTTGAGTGCCTGCTAGCACTTTTTGACTGCCTGTTCTCCTCCTTTTCACTAGTTTGGCTACAGCTGTGACATCTAATTTTTGAACAGGAGAAACACCTCTATTGTCTGAAAGATGTATGAGAAGCACGACCTCATAAGATTTAGTCTCTCCCCTGAAATGACATCTGACTGTCACCTAACTTCTTATGAAAGCCAAAGTCAGTATGGCAGGATGTCCAGGCTGTGTCCTTGTCCTATATCCTGCTTGTCCTCCATCCTGGACTTCTCTTATGGGGCAGTACACCTGAAGATAACACCCAATCCCTCTTCTGGTACTTCCTAAAACAGACCATTGGAGGCTGCATGGGAAGACACATGTTTAGCAACTTTACCCCAAATTTGTTTCTTAAACTGATATTGGTATTTTCATGGAATAAAGCCATGCATATCAGAGAAAGGAA